CAGTCCTGGTTCAGTCCTGGTTCAGTCCTGGTTTTGTTGTGGTTTAGACCTGGTTTAGTCCTTGTTTAGTGCTGGTTTAGTCCTGGTCCAGTCCTGCTTCAGTTTCAGTTTAGTCCTGGTTCAGTCCTAGTTTAGTTTCAGTTCAGTTCAGTCCTGGTTTAGTCCCGGTTTAGTCCCGGTTTAGTCCCGGATTTAGTCCCGGTTTAGTCCCGGTTTAGTTTCAGTTTAGTCCTGGTTCAGTCCTGGTTCACACAACTTTTACTCGAGTAACAGTACTGTTACTGCAGTACAAATATTACTCGAGGAGGGGGAAAAGTACGCGGCTGGAAAAGTACTCTGAAAAGTACAATGTCTTTAAAGTTACTCGAGTAAATGTATCATGTACCGCACACCTTCACGAGAATCATCTGGATCATTTCAGCCGATCTGGAATTCCAAATCTCCGCCGAACCAAAAGGTCAAAGGAGCCGTTCACGTGAAAACTACCGCCTCACGATGACATCACAAGGTGCAACAGAGCGTTTTGAGCTCTGGAGACGCAGACAGACGAATAATAAAGAGTGAATCAAACAACTCCAGGTCGGTTTGTGAGCAGGAACAACATCAGAACACGACTTAAACCTCACAGGAGGCAGTTCTGCGTGAAACTGAACCTTTAAATAATCGACGCACAAAGAGACAAAAGTCGTTAAGAAGAAGAACTGTGACCGCGGACGAGTGAAAATCTGGACCGGACAGATAAGACGAAGAGCAGCGACCACGAGCAGGAATCAAACCCACAACCTCCACACCGCGAGGACCCGGGATGATAACCACTCTGCCACAGGAACACGCTCAGTTAAACGGCATCTTACATGAAAATGAAATGAAAACACAGACAGAACGTGACAAATGTTCAATATGACTTTTCTGATGGAGGTAATATGTTATTATTAATATGATCCTCTGACTAGAATGTTTCATACTGTGGCATTAAACTTGTCCACATCCATTAGAAGTCTGCAAAAATATCAAAATGTCAATAAAACTATGAAAATAAAATGTCCAAATTCCATTCATCCATTTTCTTCCTCTTATCCAGGGTCGGGTATCGGGGGCATCAGTCTAACCAGGGACTCCCAGACTTCCTTCACCCCAGACACTTCCTCCAGCTCCTCCAGTGGGACCTGAGGTGTTCCCAGTCCAGTCCAGAGACATCGTCCCTCCAGTGTGTCCTGGGTCTTCCCCGGGGCCTCCTCCCGGTGGGACATGAACACCTCCTGAGGGAGACGTCCAGGAGACATCAGAACAGAAGCCCGAGCCTCAACTGGCTCCTCTCCACGTGGAGGAGCAGCGGCTCTACTCCGAGCTCCTCACCCTGTCTCTAAGGGAGACGCCCAGACGCCCTGGGTCCTCGTGGTTGGTAAAAATAAAAGTGTGAAAACTGTTCTGCTCTCGGCTCAATCATGACTAAGATCTGAGTCAGAAGAATCACATTTTCTTTGTGTTTTGGTCATTTTAAAAGTATCATTTTATGTGTTTTACTTAAATAAAAGACAATTTATGTCTCTTAACTGTTGTCAGGGACTAAATTGGTCAAAAATAGGGACATTTCTTGTATAAAACTAGGACTAATCACTAGTTTTGTATAAATCTGCAGGATCAGGGCTCAAAACTGGGACTGTCCCGGGTCAACAGGGACGTCTGGTCAAACTATAATAAAATTAAAAACACTTGTGCAAATGTTTGGTAAAATTATGCATCTTTTCGAGCAATCAAAACTTCAACAAAGTAAAAAATGTCACTTGTATAGAGTGACCAGAATTTCAAAATAAAAAACGAGGATATCTCCAGATTTTTGGTGGCTGGTAATAAATTAAAATTGTGAAACGAGCGCGTAGTTAAGGAAAACCGTTATGCACTAATATGAGTCAGTACAGTCACGTTTTCTTTGTGTTTTGGTCATTTTTAAGTATCCTTTTCTGTATTTTACTTCAATAAATGACTATTTCTGCCTCTCTTTACAGTTGTCGGGGAACAAATTAGTCAAAAACAGGGACATTTCTTGTATAAAATTGGGACAAATCACTTATTTTAATTATGCATCTTTTTGAGCAATAAAAACTTCAACAAAATAAGAAATATCACTTAAATAGAGTGACCAGTATTTCAAAATAAAAAACTAGGACATCCCCACATTTTTTTGTGGTTGGTAAAAATAAAAGTGTGAAAACTGTTCTGCACTCGGCTCAATCATGACAAAGATCTGAGTAAGTATAACCACATTTTCTTTGTGTATTAGTGATTTTAAAGTACCATTTTATGTGTTTTACTTAAATAAATGACAATTTATGTTTCTCTTTACTGCTGACAGGGACTAAATTAGTCAAAAATAGGGACATTTCTTGTATAAAACTGGAACAAATCACTAGTTTTGTATAAATCTGCAGGATCAGGGCTCAAAACTTGGACTGTCCCGGGTCAACAGGGACGTCTGGTCAAACTATAATAACATTAAAATCACTTGTGCAAATGTTTGGTAAAATTATGCATCTTTTTGGGCAATCAAAACTTTAAAAAAGTAAAAAAATGTCACTTGCAGAAGGAGACCATATTTTAAAAATAAAAAACTGGGACATCACCAAATTTTTTGGTGGTTGGTAAAAATAAAACTGAAAATTGTTCTGCACTCGGCCCAATCATGATGAATGTGTGTCAGTAAAATCACATTGTGTTTCCGTTTTGGTCGTTTTTAAGCAGCTTTTCTGTATTTTATCAAAACAAATGACAATTTATGTTTCTCTTTACTGTTGTCAGGGAGTAAATTGGTCAAAAATAGGGACATTTCTTGTATAAAACTGGGACAAATCGGTGACTGGGACTGTCCCGGGTGAATAGAAACGTCTGGTCAACTTCTACTAAAATTAAAATCACTTGTGCAAATGTTTGGTGAAATTATGCATCTTTTTGAGCAATCAAAACTTCAAAAAAGTAAGAAATGTCACTTGTAGAGGGAGACCATGTTTAAAAAAAAAACAAAAAACTGGGACATTCCCGGTTTTTTGGTGGTTGATAATAACAAAATTGTGAAACGAGCGAATAATTAATTAAAAATGTCCTGCACTCGACACTAATGTGAGTCAATATAACCACATTTTCTTTGTGTTTTGGTCATTTTAAGTATCATTTTCTGTATTTCACTGAATAAATGACAATTTATGTCTCTTTTTACTGTTGTCAGAGAACAAATTAGTCAAATACAGCGACATTTCTTGTATAAAACTGGAACAAATCAGTGGTTTTGTATAAATCTGCAGGGTCAGAGCTCAAAACTTGGACTGTCCCGGGTGAATAGAAACATGTGGACACTTTGTGCTAAAATTAAAATCACTTGTGCAAATGTTTGGTAAAATTATGCATCTTTTTGACCAATCAAACCTTGAACAAAATAAGAAATATCACTTGCATAGAGTGACTATAATTTCAAAATAAAAAACTGAGACATCCCCAGATTTTTTTGGTGCTTGGTAATAATAAAATTGTGAAAATTTTTCTGCAATCGGCCCAATCATGACTAAGTATAATCACATTTTCTTTGTGTTTTGGTCATTTTTAAGTATCCTTTTCTGTATTTTACTGAATAAATGACAATTTATGTCTCTCTTTACTGATGTCAGGGTTTAGAATAAAGTGAGAAATGTCACTTGCAGAAGGTGACCAGAATTTCAAAATTAAAAAAAAAACTGGGACATCCCCACTTTTTTGGTGGTTGATAATAATAAAATTGTGAATCGAGACTAATGTGAGTCAATATAATCACATTTTCTTTGTGTTTTGGTCATTTTTAAATATCATTTTCTGTATTTTACTTAAACAAATGACAATGTATGTGTCTTATTACTGTTGTCAGGGATCAGATTGGTCAAAAACAGGGACATCTGGGACATTTCTTGTATAAAATTGGGTGAAATCAGTGATTTTGTGTAAATCTGCTGGGACACGGGACACAGGGCTCCTTTTTTTTTCTTCGTGTTTTGGTCATTTTAAATATCCTTTTCAGTATTTTACTGAAATAAATGACTATTTATGCCTCTATTTATGCTTTTTACTGTTGTCAAGGAACAGATTGGTCAAAAATCTGTCATTTCTTGTATAAAACTGGGACAAATCACTAAGTTTTGTATAAATCTGCAGGGTCAGGGCTCAAAACTTGGACTGTCCCGGGTGAATAGAAACATGTGGTCACTCTGTGCTAAAATTAAAATCACTTGTGCAAATGTTTGGTAAAATGATGCATCTCTTCGATCAATCAAACCTCGAACAAAATAAGAAAAGTCAGTCTCAGTCCGGCGCAGGTTTGTGTCGCGTGGTCCAACTTTACCCCCAATAATCGTCATGATTCATTCACCGAACGCCTCAAAAACGCCAGATTGTGCGTTAAAACCCGGTTATAATCGCCGGTTTGCGGCTTTGTCGTGTGTCCGGAGGAGGTTTGTTGACACACACAGGCCCCAAAACAAAAGGTCTGACAAACACGTCAAACAAAAGTGCGTTAGCTTAGCACGCTTAGCCACTTTAGCTCCTCGACCAAAACAATCACCACAAATCTATTATTAAAAAAAACAAAAAAACTAAAAAAACACCACAAATCTTTACGCGTTTTGCACGAGTCGCACAAATAATGTCACGCGTCAAAAACCGGGAGTCACGGCGGCGTTTTGTGGGATTTTTCGGGAGGAGTTTAGCGTGGAGGAGTTTGCATCTTTTTTTTTTTTTTTTTTTTTTTGGGGGGGACTTGACAGGGCCCTGGACTCAAAAATGGCAATCGGTTTGTGCAGCACACGAGCTCCCGCGGCGACTATGCTCCGTCACGAACGATTTAAGGTGTAGAAAAAGCCCAAATGCACCGCGGGAATTGATGTTTAAACGCGTAAAGTTTGTGGGTTTTTTTAGCCTAGCCGTGGAGCTAACAGTGCAACAGCAGCAGCAGGTCCAGTTGAGCCAAACGGTTCGTTACTTACTTTCATTTAGAACCTCCACCAGCTCGGCGCAGTTTTCACACATTGTTCGTTAAAAAAAAAAGCGGGGGTCCAGTGCAGCGGCTCAGAGCATCGCGTCGCAGGCTGCTGATGACTGAGTTGTTTTCGGGGGGTGGAAAAAGGCCCCGACGGTGGGAGTGTGTTCGTGTTCGCGTTCGTGTTCGGGCTCCGCTGAAGGTTATTCCGGCGGATGCGGGCCGCGGCGCACGGGACAGGCGCCGAGAACGTGATCGCATCCGAGCCGCGATCATGAACGGCCGGGGGGGGTTCCGGGGAGGCACGGCGAGAGGCAGAGAAAGTCCAGTCAGAGTCCGATCCGAGCGAGACTCGAGAGAGTAGACACAGCGGCCATGTTGAAAAGTGACGGGGAGGGGAGGGGGGGAGAGAAGGAGCAACACACAGGCGGCGTGGAGGCGCTCGGGAAACTTCGGCTTTTTCCGGACACGCTCGCGCTCGGGAAACTTCGGCTTTTTCCGGACACTCTCTCTCCGGAAACTTCGGCTTTTTCCGGACACGCTCGCTCTCTCTCCGAAACTCGCTCGGGAAACTTCGGCTTTTTCCGGACACGCTCTCGCTCGGGAAACTTCGGCTTTTTCCGGACACGCTCTCTTTCCGGAACTTTTTTTTATTTTTTTTTTATTTTATTGCAGACATATAACGACAAGACAAAACAACCAATGTATTTACAGTATAAGGTGCAGATTGGATTGTTGTTGCATCAATGCAAAGTCCAGTTAACAGTTATGGCATGGGCGAGGTATGGAAAATATACATGTACATTCATACACATAAACACACACAAACACACACAAACACACATAAACACACATAAACACACACAAACACACATAAACATACTGCAATAAGGGGGTGGTTTGCAAATTAACATACAGGGGAGCAGAAGGAATGAAACCAAAACTAAACAACAGAATAACAAAACAAAACAGAAAGTTATAAATTAAATAAAGCTATACGATATTTTTTATAGATATTGTAAGTTTTAATTGCTTTTTTGTTTTGGGCCTGTTTTATTGTCTGAAAGTATTGTTGGAGTTCGTTATGCTCGCTCTCGGAACGTGGAGGCGCTCGGGAAACTTCGGCTTTTTCCGGACACGCTCCCTCCTCTCCGGAACGTGTCGTCCTCTCGTCGGGGGAAGTCGCGCGAGAGTTCGGCAAGTTGTGGTTTTGAAGGTCAACTTTTTTTAAATTTATTTTAATATAAGCAAAAGTGTATAATCAGTGTTGTGGAGTAACTGATTACATGTACCAGAGTAATGTAATCAGAGTACAAATGATGAGTAACAGTATTCAGTTACAGTTACTGTTTCAGTGAGTGGTAATTGGATTACAGTTACTTTACTGAAATGGATTACACGGCGGGATTTTCCTGTTTTCACATTTTGGGCTAAATCCCTTTTTTTTTTTGTGTGGTAATTCCACTCATTGCTGGACTCTAAAACCAAGTCTAAAACCAGGTCTAAACTTGGTCTAAACCAGGACTAAAACCAGGGCTAAAACCAAGTCTAAAACCAGGTCTAAACTTGGTCTAAACCAGGTCTAAACCAGGACTAAAACCAGGCCTAAACTTGGTCTAAACCAGGTCTAAACTTGGTCTAAACCAGGTCTAAACTTGGTCTAAACCAGGTCTAAAACAGGTCCAAACCAAGTCTAAACTTGGTCTAAAGCAGGACTAAAACCAGGTCTAAAACCAGGTCTAAACCAGGACTAAACCAGGATTTAACAGGACTAAATCCTGCTGTGTGTACATGTTTCTTCGTCTTCTATCAATATTTTTTAATTTGGTTCAGTAAAGTTTGGACTTTTTATTTTCTTTTATCAGACAAAACTTATGTGAAGATTTCGTCTTTGTTTCTCTACAACAAATCAAATAATCCAAAGTATTCAGATTACATTACTCACTTTAAGTAATTTAATGGATTCTGTTACAAACTGCATTTTGGTGTATGTAATCTGTAATCTGTAGGGGATTACATTTTAAAAGTAAACTTTCCAACACTGAGGAACAGCTACACCAGAACTAAACCAACACTAAACCCCAAATCTAAATTAAATCTGAATTAAAACAGTAAAATAAAAAAAAAACAAAGACAGTGTTTTTGTAAAAATATCCAACTTTATCTTCTGAGTCAAAGACATTTTCTCCAAACATGATCCTTCTCCTCATTTCCGTCTCATAACCGAAATTTCCACACACAAAAAAAATTTAAAAATAAAAATAATCCAAAACGACACATGACAAACCCAGAAGTCGAGCCGCGACCCCTGGAGGTTTTACATTCAACCTGCCGCTAAACTGTGCATTATTTTATTTTACATATTAACAAGTGGGAGGAAGAGACAAAAAAAAAAACCTTCAGTATCGAAGCCGGGGCTGGACGGGACCGACCCGAAAAACACGCCGCCACGGGCTCTAGTCAAATGAAGCTCACTGAGGTTGGAATTTGGAGCCAGGAATTGATACACGGACAAAAAAATAAACGAAATAAAAACAGCGGGATCACGAGTTAATCCGAACATTTTAAGACCAAAAATGACGACGCTCGCAGCAGCAGGTACAGAGAGAAGCGACGTTTTTTTTCTATAGAGGCTTTGCACCGTCACGTGACCCCTATAGGCGAGTTTCAGCTGACGTCATTGTTATTAAAAGTCCGCGTTGCTGCTGGGAAATATTTTGGTCGAAGGCAGAAACACGGTAGCGTCAAACACAGTGCGTAACCTCGTGTATTTCTCCCTGATAATGGTAAATTCCTGCTGCATTATCGGACACACAAATAGAAGCACGGAAGAAGGAAAATGTCTTTTTCATATTCTGAGTGAAAAGAACCACTAACGGTGAATTAAACGACTTTCAAACATCCGCAGAGCAAACGTAGAAGATCCTAACAAACCGTGGACTCAACAAGTTCAACAACACATCCAGACTCTTGGAGGTTTTCATCTTTTCTGCTGTGAATGGCCCAGGAGTTTCCACCAAGTCATTGTGGATGTCGCCCAAGTGAATATTTGTCCAGGGAGTTGGAGATTCAGACCAGAAATTTGGTTTGGTCCAGACTCTGTCGGGGTTGAAAAGGTTGATTTGTCGTCCGTCGATGTTTATGACCAATTTCTGGTCAAATGGTCTTGGGTCCTCTGCCGTTAGAGTGGATAAATAACCGGGATCAATACCCTTTACGTGTTTTCTCGCTCCGTCCGACATGTTGAATTAGTGTTTCTTGCCGCCGACCAAAATAATTCCCAGCATGCAACGCACGCTTTTGTCAACAATGAAACTCGTCTATAGTAACAGTAACTACGCCGCCATGACACCGGACACACTATGTCATTGACTTAAGCAGCATCGGAGAAACATGGGCAGGTTTTGTTGTGTATTTGGTTGTTCTAGACGCTCTGAACGGGATAAAACGATTCAATTCTTCACTGTTCCTCTGGAAATGACTCATCAGGATCAAACAAGGGAATTATCAGGAAAAAAAACGGGAATTATGTCTAGAAACATAAACCACGAAGAGATTTCCAATGGTACCATCAAGACACACTCACGTCACTTTCAACAAGGTGTTTGTTATTTAAATTGTTTCATAGTTTATTTAATGAGAGAAGCACATTTACTGAACTAAAATGTAAAAAGAAACATTTGCAGTAGAAACTGTATGTTCCAGCACATAAACATGTCACTCGTCGTAGGACCATGTTTTCTTTGTCTTGTTTATCCACAACTTTGTCTTCTAGAATTAATCTCTTTTTGTGAGTGGATCTTTCTAACGTTCGTGAGGATCTTTTCATGGTCGATTCTTTCGAGGTTCGTCTCACAGACTCTTCGACTCGTGCGTCGTGTTGATCGCAGGAGCCAGTGTGGGTTCTTGAATCGTAAACTAGTGCAGGTTTTCCTGGATAAATTAATGACATTTTAGTTCAGTAAATGTGCTTCTCTCATTAAATAAACTATGAAACTATTTAAATAACAAACACCTTGATGAAAGTGACGTGAGTGTTGATGGTACAATAGGAAATCTCTTCGTGGTTTATGTTCTCTAGACATAATTCCCGTTTTTTTTTTTTTTGATAATTCCCTTGTTTGATCCTGATGAGTCATTTCCAGAGGAACAGTGAAGAAAAGAATCGTTTTATCCCTTTTCAGAGCGTCTAGAACAGGGGTGTCCAAACTTTTTTCATCAAGGGCCACGTACAAAGCAGAGGATTGATCGAGGGCCGCAGACTAGTGCTTAAAGGGATAGTTCGGGTTTTTTGACATGAATCTGTGTGTCGTCCCCGTGAGAAGTGTCGCGCATCAACACCGACTCACCCCCGACGGCGTCCGGCGAGCCCAGATACTGGCCGTTTTCGGTGCTGACGAAAGAAGTCCGGCAAGTTGTGCTGGGGACATTAAAATAAAGTGTTTTTCTTCTCAAAACAACATGTGTTCAAAAGAGTGATACAAAACCATCGTCCTCCAAAAAGTCAGACCTCATAATCGCTTGGGACTATTTTCTCTCCGTTCGTATCACTGCGAATAATTGAAATATGTGCATGTTTAACACGAATAGCATGAATAAACACTGACGGCTCAGAGATCCTTAAAACCAAACACTAAATATTAAATCTTCACTTTATCGAGGTAGATTTTCTAAAAACTTGCACTAAGAAGTTAATTTTTAAATGGTGTAAGGTGATTTGGGCCAATTCACCTGGAAGCCTGAGGACCAAGAATAATTTGTCTGAGGGCCGCATTTGGCCCACGGGCCGTAGTTTGGACCTGCCTGGTCTAGAACAACCAAATAAACAACAAAACCTGCTCATGTTTCTCAAGTCAATGACATAGCGTGCCCGGTGTCATGGCGGCGTAGGTACCGTTGCCATGGGAACACGTGTCAGTGCGAAGCCTCTATAGGAAGTGAACTGGAGCCAGAGTCGGTGGAGCCTGAAGTCAAACCCACAAAGTCCAACAACGGTCCAGTCCAGCCCCAACAGATTCAATACAAGAAAACAAGAGAAAAGAAACATTTGACACAGAAATTTTTTAGTATAAAATATATCAAAAACAAAACTTGGCTTATTTGTTTCGACGGGCAAAGGGACACGTGGTCATTTACATATTCACAAACGTTTGGTCGACCGTCCTGAACACTCCGCTCTTTCACGCAAAAGTCTCCCTCTTCGGTTCCTTGGCCTTGGTCCGAAATCAGACGTCGCTCCGTGTTTTTCCGTCGCTTCGTTTCGTTTTGGGAATCGTCGACGTTTTTAGTCGCACATTTCCTCCGGGAGTTCGTGGGGGTTCAGGATTCCCGGTACAGAGAGTTGGATTTTGTGTTTTTCTTCCTGGGCCTGACGTAAGGCGCCCTCTCGCTCCTCCAGGAACAGGTCTGTGGTGTCCTCGCCGGCAAATTCCTGGGAAATAAAAACACAGATTGGAATAAGTAAAAAAAAATAAATAAATAAAAAATTCTAGGGGATATTAACCGTGAACACGTAACTTATTTTGATCACCTTGTTTGCTTTTATTGTTTTGAAAATGCTGTATTTATAAAAAACAATGTCTCTCCCTTTGCTCCCTGTGCTAAGTCACTCCCCCCTCAGACACAATCACGACACAATCAGCGTTAATGAAACTCCTGCACATCACTTCAGGTTTGTCCAGTCGCTGTGTTCAGTTTTGTGTCATGTTTTTGTGTATTTATGGAGTAAAAAGTTTTCAGAAATATTCATGTGCATAGGATATAAATTTGTGCATATTTGTCTGTAGTTGAGCGTAAAATAAATATTTGTAAACTCTGGAATGAGTCCAGTCGTACGTAAAATGTGTTGTGTGTATTTTATCCATCAGAGTATGAATTGAAAAGTTACGACTTCAAGAATTATATAATCACAAAATTAAAATTTACAATTACGCTTTCATCAGTATAAATATGAATTCACAGACATGACTCGACTGACAGAAATACAACATCACTTCACAGGAATTTTTTATTGATCAGAAGAAACATCGATTGAGATGCCGGACTTTTACACCACATATGGACTGAACCAGGACTAAACAAGAGAGAAAACCCTGAGCTCGTGGATCAAGGTGTCTGCAAAGCACGATTGGGCGGTGGTTGCGTTTAGCCCGGTGGGGCGCAAAGTTCTGCACCGGTCCTTTCGCCTGCGGTCACCCAACGGTCTACACGGGCACACCTCCTGGCCCGTCCCCACATTCAGTCCTGGTTCAATCTTGGTTCAGTCCTGGTTCAATCTTGGTTCAGTCCTGGTTCAATCTTGGTTCAGTCCTGGTTCAGTCCTGGTTCAGTCCTGGTTCAGTCCTGGTTCAGTCCTGGTTCAGTCCTGGTTCAGTCCTGGTTCAATCTTGGTTCAGTCCTGGTTCAATCTTGGTTCAGTCCTGGTTCAATCTTGGTTCAGTCCTGGTTCAATCTTGGTTCAGTCCTGGTTCAATCTTGGTTCAGTCCTGGTTCAGTCCTGGTTCAGTCCTGGTTCAGTCCTGGTTCAGTCCTGGTTCAGTCCTGGTTCAGTCCTGGTTCAGTCCTGGTTCAGTCCTGTTCAGTCCTGGTTCAGTCCGTTTGTGGTGTAAAAGTCCGGCATCTCAATCGATGTTTCTTCTGCTCAGTAAAAATGCCCTGTGAAGTGATGTTGTTTTTTTGTCAGTCGAGTCGCGTCTGTGAATTCATTCAGTTCGTACTGAAAAAAGTGTAATTGTAAATATTCATTTTGTGATTGTAATTCTTGAACTTTTCATTAGTTCATTTTCTGATGGATAAAATACAAACAACACATTTTATGTACGACTGGACTCATTCCAGAGTTTACAAATGTTTATTTTATGCTCAACCACAGACAAATACACAGATTTTTATCCTACACACATGAATATTTCTGAAAACTTTCGTACTCCATATGTCCAGCTCAAACTGTGCCACTAAATCACAGGGTTTAAAAGTTCACAGCTCATGACTCATGTTCTCACACTGAACCAACGACTTCATCAGTGTGAAACCCTCACGAGAGGAGACTGGAGTCAAACAGCTTTGAGTTTCTTGCGACCTTCGGTTCTCGATCAGGAGCAGGTCGTGAGGCGTTTATCTGTTCTCCCATGTTTACTAAACACGATTAAGCTAAACTCGGACCGATCCCAAAAACAGGAGTGAAAAATCGGCTCAAAAAGGGCCAAAAATCACACATCAGAAGGTGGAGCAGAACGTTTTGAGCTTCGGAGATGTAAACAGACTAATAATAAAGAATTACTCAAACATATGAATGAAACAAAACACAACTCCAGCTCTGTTTATGAGGAGGAAACAACATCCTAACAACACGACTTCAAACTCACAAGAATCTATTTTGAGTAGGGATAAATAAGGATGGGAGGGCATCTGACTCACCTTGATCTGAACGAGGAAGTCCCTGAGGTGCTCCTTGAAGGCGGGAATGTCCTGGTTCAGACTGAAGAGGCCGGTCACAAACACTTTCACCTGAGCGCTGCAAACAATCAAATCAACTTTTAACAAAACAGCGATGAGGGAGAATAAATGTTGATTTTTTTTTTTATTATTATGATGCAGTAAAATGTTTTATTAATGCATGAAAATCATAGATGTTGTATAAGGATCAGTGTTGGGAAGTTTACTTTTAAAATGTAATCCCCTACAGATTACAGATTACATACCCCAAAATGTAGTTTGTACTGTAATCCATTAAATTACTTAAAGTGAGTAATGTAATCTGATTACTTTGGATTACTTGATTTGCTGTAGAGAAGCAAAGACGAGGGAATCTTCACATAAGAAGTTTTGTCTGATAAAAGAAAATAAAAAAGCCCAAAGCCCTGGTTTAGACCTGGTTTAGATCTAGTTTAGATCTAGTTTAGTCCTGGTCTAAGTCCTCATTTAGATCTACTTTAGTCCCGATTTTAGTGCTGGTTTTAGTCCTAGTTTTACACCCGGTTTAGATCTAGTTTAGACCTGGTTTAGATCTACTTTAGACCTGGTTTAGATCTACTTTAGACCTGGTTTAGATCTACTTTAGACCTGGTTTAGATCTACTTTAGACCTGGTTTAGATCTACTTTAGACCTGGTTTAGATCTACTTTAGTCCTAATTTTAGTGCTGGTTTTAGTCCTAGTTTTGTCTTGGTTTAGTCCTAGTTTTAGACCCGGTTTAGATCTAGTTTAGATCTAGTTTAGATCTAGTTTAGACCTGGTTTAGATCTGGTTTAGATCTAGTTTAGACCTGGTTTAGTTTCCGGCAATGAGTGGAATTACCAAAAAAAAAAAAAAAAAAAAAAAAAAGGGGGAATATAGTCTAAAATGTGACAACAGGAAAATATCTCTGTGTTAGGGATGGGCATCATTAATCGATTAATCGATAATTGATCATTAAGAATTTCATCGATTATGTTCATTTTAATGGACAAACTGAATGTATGTTTGTGTGTCGTGACCAAACAGGTGTGTACATGTGTCTCTGCATCAGAAGGAGCGAGACACAAACAGTGGGTCAGTCTGTAACGAACCGAAGCACAAATGTGGATTTAACCAGGATTTGTAGAAGAAATTCCACACTTTCCGTTGCGTTGGGACAAGTGTGAGTCCATGTGCACAGTGGATAAAGCAGCACATGTGTTTCTGTGTCCAGTGGGAAAAAGTTTTTCCAGGTGAGAGTCGCTCAATGTGGATGACGAGGCCCCGCCCCCCTCCCCCCGTACGCTGTCCTGGTTTTGACAAACACAAATCTGGTCACACTGACCTGTATTCACCTGAGTCATGTCTTTTAATCCAACACAAGTTGAACCACATCAGCGACACAAGAGCTGGAGTTTTATCTTCACTTAGTTTATGTAAATTAGTGATGTGGTTTTAAGTTTTGTTTCTGTGAGATTTGAACAAAACTGAATTAAACACATTATAATGTCAAACAGCTGATGTGGCTCTAGAGTCGTTATGTTTATATGTCGTAAAGTTGAATTTATTTATGCAGATTAGTGCAGATAGTAATAATAATGATGATCATTTTAATATAAAAACCTTAATGATTCATCGATAATCGTTCGTTAATTCTTCCGACGATCGATTAAGAAAATTTCATCGAATGCCCGTCCCTACTCTGTGTAATCCATTTATTTCAACAAAGTAACTGTAATCCAATTACCACTCACTGAAACAGTAACTGTAACTGAATACAGTTACTCATCATTTGTATCTGATTACATAACTCTGGTACATGTAATCTGTTACTCCCCATCACTGGTGAGGTTTGGGGTTGATAGAGGAAAGTAAAGGTTGTACTGACTCCTGCAGGTGTGGGAAGGCGTTCTTCAGCAGGTTGGCCGTGTACTCCTGCACGTGGGCCTGGTTATTGGCCGGACTCGCGGCGCTGAGGGAGACGCTCACTTTACCCTCCTCCACCAGGTTAAACATGTACGCCAAGATGGTGGCGTGCATCGTCAAACCTGCACACGAAACAACACAAAACACACAAAACACAAAACAGGAGTCAGTGGAAGAAATGTACGCAGCAGATAAATGTTCACATATTACACGGTTTTCTGGAGACATGAGGAATGAAAAGGTTCTTGTCTTGTTTCGTCCATAAATACAGAGAGTTTACGACTTTGCTTAATACTGTGTTTTCCGCACCAGCCAAAAAATCCGTAATAAAGAAAATAAAACATATATAAGTTGCATTTTTTGTGGGAAATTTTGATCAAATCAGCGACCAAGAACAGACATTTCAACACTTCAGACTGTCGGCCTTGGCTTGGAAGTCTGAGGGTAGTTTCTGGAACATCGCGGACAGAGACTGTGGCGTCACACGAAAACACATCTCTTTAAAAAAAAAACTTTTTCTCTTTCTCTCTGAGTTCAGACGCCCCTGACGCTCGTGTCTTTGACGCCGCGGACGAACGGAACAAAAATACTTGACGCGTGTCCGTTGCCCTGGAAACAAGAGCCCGGTCCAGATCTTTTCCCGAAACAATGTCAGACCAGACTGAGACTTTAGTGTTTTTATGACATAAAACATCAGCGGAGGAAATCGACTCGACGACTGGGACGTGTTTATATTTATACTCCACTAATGACACTGGATCAGTCCTGGTCTAGTCCCGGTCTAGTCCCGGTCTAGTCCCGGTCTAGTCCCGGTCTAGTCCCGGTCTAGTCCCGGTCTAGTCCTCGGTGATTGTGGTGTATATATTTATTCTCCGTTCATGTTTGTGGTTCTGGTTCTGGGGTTTTTCTTCCTGATAATAACGTCGCTGCGTCTCTGGATACTCGTCCCTGATTGGTCGACGCGGCGAGTCTGACGTGAAAAGTTTAGCATTTTCAACTTCTTCACGCTGACGCCTCGGACACGCGTCTAGAGCGTCGACGCCAAACGCTCAAGACGCGCCGCAAAATCACAGGACGCTCTAGTCGCACATAGTCCACATCAACTTCACATAGAAACTGGACGCTTTGACACTTGGTGTGAACGAACCTTTATATCGACTCTTTTTTCCAACCACATTTTAGTTTCGTAAAAGAGTTCACCGGACACAAAAGGTTTGAAATCCCTGAGCAGCAGATACTCGTACTCAAGCCTAGAGCGCCGTCTTGTGGCTGTCAGTGTGAAAATAACGAACACGTGAAATGAAAGATTGTAATATTTAAGTCACACCGGAGTGAAAAAAAAAAAAAAAAAAAAATGAGCGTTATAGTCTAAAAAATAGGGTCTATATTGTCGGGGGGCAGGTCCCGAGGTGAAACAAATCGTTCTCCAGCCGGACGTTACCTGCGGTGTGGGACGTATCCGTGACGACGGAGAAGATGTGCTGCAGGATGTCGCAGAAGTAGGTCTGATAGAAACTCTGAGCCGCCGTCTCCTCGGCCGAGACGTTCTGCAGCAGAGAGTAGAGGATCTGCAGCCCTGCGGGAGACACAACCGGCTGTCAATCAAACCGACAAACGACAAAAACATTTAAAAAGCTGCACTGTGTAACTTTTCCAGCGAAAGAAACGTCAGATGGAGATGTTATTGTGGAGAAGCGACCGGAACGTCTGTTTTTTCTAGGGATTTGATCTCGAAAACCACCTGTAACTGAATAAATGTAAAGTCGAGCTGGTTAAAGTCCCACTGTGGAACATTCCAGACAGAACAGTGACGTATCATACATATAAACAGCGTTGGGGAGTAACAGATTACATGTACCGGAGTTATGTAATCAGAGTACAGATTATGAGTAACTGTATTCAGTGAGTGGTAACTGGATTACAGTTACTTTGTTGAAATAAATGGATTACAAAGTGGTATTTCCCCGTTTTCACATTTTGGGCTATATCCCTTTTTTTTTTCTTTTTTCTCAGTAATTCCAAACCAGGTCTAAACCAGGACTAAACCAGGTCAAAAGCAGGACTAAGACCAGGTCTAAAATAGGTCTAAAATAGGTCTAAACCAGTTCTAAACCAAGACTAAACCAAGACTAAACCAGGTCTAAACCAAGACTAAACCAGGTCTAAACCAGGTCTAAACCAAGACTAAACCAGGTCTAAACCAAGCCTAAACCAGGTCTAAACCAGGTCTAAACCAGGACTAAAACAGGATTTAACAGGACTAAATCCTGCTGTGTGAACATGTTTCTTCGTTTTCTATCAATAATATTTTTAATTTGGTTCAGTAAAGTCTGGACTTTTTATTTTCTTTTATCAGACAAAACTTACGTGAAGATTTCCTCGTCTTTGTTTCTCTACAACAAACCAAGTAATCCAAAGTATTCAGATTACATTACTCACTTTAAGTAATTTAATGGATTCTGTTACAAACTACATTTTGGCGTGGGTAATCTGTAATCTGTAATCTGTAGGGGATTACATTTTAAAAGTAAACTTCCCAACACTGCACATAAATATAATACATATAAAATCTTGATGTGTTTCTGTATTTTCTGTGAAAATTTGAGGTGATTTCAACAAGAATTGGTAAAATTATCGGCCTGTGAAACGATGTCAAAGTTTTTGGGACACCCTGTATTTGACTCTTTTGAAACAGAAGTTTAATCTGTACTGATACTAACTGGTACTAACATCGTCTGCTCATTTATTCACCAAACTTCACATTCTTAATATTTATGGGATTAATATTGATCAAATCTGTATTTTTATGTATCAAAATCTTTATAATTCAACAACGATCCCCAAACATTCCACATTTTATAAACGATGCAGAGACTCATAGATACAAACTCGTCACATCAAGAGCTCAGTTTTGCTTCGATACAGAGGCTGTAAATTCTGGAGCAGTTTTCACGTCTGGTTAGTGTTATTTGACCTAAAGACTGAAAGTGTCGTCAAACGAGGGCAGCAAAGATTATATTTATTGAGGAAACTGAACTCTTTTAATGTGAACAAAATGATTGTTAATCATTTTTATTGCTCTTTTATCGGAAATCTTCTTACTTTTTCTTTTATTTGCTGGTTTGAATCCTTGTCTGTGAAGGATAAAAACAAACTTCAAAATATTGCTAAAACTTGCTCGAAAATCACAGGGGTTAAACTGAGACCTGCACACTCTGTGGGAGGAGCAGGGGCTGAGCAAAGCCAAGTGTCTCCATCCTCTGGCTCCTGATTTTATCCTGATGCCTTCAGGGCGTCGGTTTTATGCTCCGAGACGGAAAACCAACCGGTTCTCCAATTCTTTTGTGCCCTGTGCTATTGAATTGTTAAATTCTAAGGGTACAGTTTCATGAAAGTTTTACACTGTAATTTGTACTTTATTTTGAGTTCCACTGGTGGACGGCGATGGACTGACTCACTTTGTGTTTGTTTCTGTTTGTGTTTGCTCTGAGATGTTGCTAATGAATTGCCTTAGGGGATCAATAAAGTTTTCTGAATCTGAATCTAGTCTCTCTCTCTATATATATATTTTATTATTGTATTCATAAAGGTGAAGGCTTTAATATTTCACCCTATTGGGTTTTTTGCCTCTTCCGGCGCTGACTTTTTATCTAGTGTGTTTCTTTTTATTGTCATATTATATGTGCTAAATAAATAAGATAAATAAAATACTGTGGGACATTCTGGACAAAGCAAAAACATCTCCATGAAGACGAGCAGGTGACGGACCCTCCCCCAGAGAAGGAGCTGTGTTTTAAACACGGTGGTACCAGTGTCGGCGACGTTCCTCATGGTGTGTTTAAAGGCCCAGATGATGGAGTCCAGGATGAGTTTGAACTGAGCCGGAGCGATGGAGAGGAACGCCGGGAAGCACATCCCTGTGGCCGACAGCAGCAGGTAGAAGAAGTGAGTCCTGTGCTCCGGGAACTCCTCGAAGTCCTGAACACAAAACACAAAACACAAAACCACGATAAATTTAACGAGGTGTAAAAAGGAACCGATATGTCGAACTACGACTGAGACCAAAACATGTCATGAAGACTTTTTCTTTCCTCATTTGGATCGTTCACAAGTTTGTTTTGTTTTTATTTATCCAATCTGACCCACTTTATCTCTACAGCACTTTTCATAAATAAATACTGTTTCCAAAAGTGATGCACAGAAAAATGTAAAATCGATGTATAAAACTTATTTAGTAATAATAGTAGCAATAGTAGTAGTAGTAGTAGTACTTCAGACCTTGTTGATCATGTTGAGCGTGTAGTAGTAGTTGTATTAATAGTAGTAGTAGTAGTAGTAGTAGTAGTAGTAGTAGTAGTAGTAGTAGTAGTAGTAGTACTTCAGACCTTGTTGATCATGTTGAGCGTGTAGTAGTAGTAGTAGTAGTAGTAGTAGTAGTAGTAGTAGTAGTAGTAGTAGTAGTAGTAGTAGTAGTAGTAGTAGTAGTAGTAGTAGTAGTAGTAGTAGTACTTCAGACCTTGTTGATCATGTTGAGCGTGTAGTAGTAGTAGTAGTAGTAGTAGTAGTAGTAGTAGTAGTAGTAGTAGTAGTAGTAGTAGTAGTAGTACTTCAGACCTTGTTGATCATGTTGAGCGTGTAGTAGTAGTAGTAGTAGTAGTAGTAGTAGTAGTAGTAGTAGTAGTAGTAGTAGTAGTAGTAGTAGTAGTAGTAGTAGTACTTCAGACCTTGTTGATCATGTTGAGCGTGTAGTAGTAGTAGTAGTAGTAGTAGTAGTAGTAGTAGTAGTAGTAGTAGTAGTAGTAGTAGTAGTAGTAGTACTTCAGACCTTGTTGATCATGTTGAGCGTGTAGTAGTAGTTGTATTAATAGTAGTAGTAGTAGTAGTAGTAGTAGTAGTAGTAGTAGTAGTCTTCAGACCTTGTTGATCATGTTGAGCGTGTAGTAGTAGTAGTAGTAGTAGTAGTAGTAGTAGTAGTAGTAGTAGTAGTAGTAGTAGTAGTAGTAGTAGTAGTAGTAGTAGTAGTAGTAGTAGTAGTAGTAGTAGTAGTAGTAGTAGTAGTAGTAGTAGTAGTAGTAGTAGTAGTAGTAGTAGTAGTAGTAGTAGTAGTAGTAGTAGTAGTAGTAGTAGTAGTAGTAGTAGTAGTAGTAGTAGTAGTAGTAGTAGTAGTAGTAGTAGTAGTAGTAGTAGTAGTAGTAGTAGTAGTAGTAGTAGTAGTAGTAGTAGTAGTAGTAGTAGTAGTAGTAGTAGTAGTAGTAGTAGTAGTAGTAGTAGTAGTAGTAGTAGTAGTAGTAGTAGTAGTAGTAGTAGTAGTAGTAGTAGTAGTAGTAGTAGTAGTAGTAGTAGTCTTCAGACCTTGTTGATCATGTTGAGTGTAGTAGTAGTAGTAGTACGTTGTTGATCATGTTGAGTAGTAGTAGTAGTAGTAGTAGTAGTAGTAGTAGTAGTAGTAGTAGTACTTCAGACCTTGTTGATCATGTTGAGCGTGTAGTAGTAGTAGTAGTAGTAGTAGTAGTAGTAGTAGTAGTAGTAGTAGTAGTACTTCAGACCTTGTTGATCATGTTGAGCGTGTAGTAGTAGTAGTAGTAGTAGTAGTAGTAGTAGTAGTAGTAGTAGTAGTAGTAGTAGTAGTAGTAGTAGTAGTAGTAGTAGTAGTAGTAGTAGTAGTAGTAGTACTTCAGACCTTGTTGATCATGTTGAGCGTGTAGTAGTAGTAGTAGTAGTAGTAGTAGTAGTAGTAGTAGTAGTAGTCTTCAGACCTTGTTGATCATGTTGAGCGTGTAGTAGTAGTAGTAGTAGTAGTAGTAGTAGTAGTAGTAGTAGTAGTAGTAGTAGTAGTAGTAGTAGTAGTAGTAGTAGTAGTAGTAGTAGTAGTAGTAGTAGTACTTCAGACCTTGTTGATCATGTTGAGCGTGTAGTAGTAGTAGTAGTAGTAGTAGTAGTAGTAGTAGTAGTAGTAGTAGTAGTAGTAGTAGTAGTAGTACTTCAGACCTTGTTGATCATGTTGAGCGTGTAGTAGTAGTAGTAGTAGTAGTAGTAGTAGTAGTAGTAGTAGTAGTAGTAGTAGTAGTAGTAGTAGTAGTAGTAGTAGTAGTAGTAGTAGTAGTACTTCAGACCTTGTTGATCATGTTGAGCGTGTAGTAGTAGTAGTTGTTGATCATAGTAGTAGTAGTAGTAGTAGTAGTAGTAGTAGTAGTAGTAGTAGTAGTAGTAGTAGTAGTAGTACTTCAGACCTTGTTGATCATGTTGAGCGTGTAGTAGTAGTTGTATTAATAGTAGTAGTAGTAGTAGTAGTAGTAGTAGTAGTAGTAGTAGTAGTAGTACTTCTTGTTCTGTGTATTTCAGGTGCAGTTGATCATGTTGTAGTAGTAGTAGTAGTAGTAGTAGTAGTAGTAGTAGTAGTACTTCAGACCTTGTTGATCATGTTGAGCGTGTAGTAGTAGTTGTAGTAGTAGTAGTAGTAGTAGTAGTAGTAGTAGTAGTAGTAGTAGTAGTACTTCAGACCTTGTTGATCATGTTGAGCGTGTAGTAGTAGTAGTTAGTAGTAGTAGTAGTAGTAGTAGTAGTAGTAGTAGTAGTAGTAGTAGTAGTACTTCAGACCTTGTTGATCATGTTGAGCGTGTAGTAGTAGTTGTATTAATAGTAGTAGTAGTAGTAGTAGTAGTAGTAGTAGTAGTCTTCAGACCTTGTTGATCATGTTGAGCGTGTAGTAGTAGTAGTAGTAGTAGTAGTAGTAGTAGTAGTAGTAGTAGTAGTAGTAGTACTTCAGACCTTGTTGATCATGTTGAGCGTGTAGTAGTAGTTAGTAGTAGTAGTAGTAGTAGTAGTAGTAGTAGTAGTAGTAGTAGTAGTAGTAGTAGTAGTAGTAGTAGTAGTAGTAGTAGTACTTCAGACCTTGTTGATCATGTTGAGCGTGTAGTAGTAGTAGTAGTAGTAGTAGTAGTAGTAGTACTTCAGACCTTGTTGATCATGTTGAGCGTACACTCAAAGACGGCGTCAAAGATCTTGGGGATTTCGGGCGTGATGTGGACGCCCAGTTTGTTGACGATGGTTGCTATGGTGCTGAGGACCTCGGGCTCTCGCGCCGCCGGGACGTTCCTCTGATAATCGATCAACACGGCCTCCAGCAGAGGGGGCACGAAGTTCTCCGCCACCTGCAGGACAACACGGAAACTGCAGCTACACACACCGGCTCAAACAGGACTCAAACAGGACTCAAACAAGACTAAAACCAGGACTAAAACACGACTATAAACAGGACTAAAACGGACTAAAAAATGGGATTTAAGATAAACTGAAAAAGGACTGAAAAAGGATTAAAGCAGGACTAAAACAGGACTAAAAAAAGGACTAAAATCAGAACTAAAAAAGGATTAAAAAAAGGTCTAAAGCAGGACTAAAACAGGACTAAAAGCAGGACTAAAAAAAGGTCTACAAAAGGACTAAAGCAGGACTAAAATAAGACTAAAAGCAGGACTGAAGTAGGACTGAAAAACAAAGCAGGACTAAAAGCAGGACTAAAACAGGACTAAAAAAGGACTAAAATGGGATTTAAGAGAGACTGAAAAAGGACTGAAAAAGGATTAAAGCAGGACTAAAACAGGACTAAAAAAGGATTTTAAAAAAAGGTCTAAAGCAGGACTAAAAGCAGGACTAAAAAAAGGTCTACAAAAGGACTAAAGCAGGACTAAAATAAGACTAAAAGCAGGACTAAAACAAGACTAAAAAGGTCCACAAAAGGACAAAAGCAGGACTAAAGCAGGACTAAAACAGGCCTAAAAGCAGGACTAAAACAGGCCTAAAAGCAGGAGTAATCCAAACAGTCCCTGACCATCTGCGGGTCGTTGGAGCGAGTGACCCATCCAGAGATGAGCTTCAGCGTCTCTTTCTTCACCGTCCTCATGCTGCGGATCAGGGGCTGCTTCGTCACCATCTCCCCTGAACAAACACAACCACAGACAAATACGTTTTTTCAATTCAGTTTTTCCAATTCAGTTTTCCACAGGGTCAAATCATAATCCCACAAAGACACATCCACACGTACCACACACACGCACGCACACACACACGCACACACGCACACACGCACACACGCACACGCACACACGCACACACAACACACACGCAACAAACAGACACATTATGCGTGGACACGCGCGTCAACTGTGAAAAACATGGACTCTAAGGAAGCTGGGAAGTTTTATATTTATTTTCTTTGTTTTCTTTATTTTTCTTTATTTTCTTTCCTTTCCTTCCCTTCCTTCCTTCCCCTTCCCTCCCTTCCCTCCCTCCCTCCCTACCTCCCTCACCTTCCTTCCTTCCTTCCCTCCCTTCCTTCCCCTTCCCTCCCTTCCCTCCCTACCTCCCTCACCTTCCTTCCTTCCCTCCCTCCCTCCCCTCCAAAACTAATTTTGGTTTTGGAGACAAATAATGAAGAAAATTGTAGTTTTTTTGTTTTTATTTTGAAAAACTAATGAATGAATAACACACGGATTCCCCTTCCCCCGTGCACTGACCGTTGGAGCTGACCGCCGAGGAGATGTTTTCGCTCAGACACTTGTACACGTTCAGCATGTCCAGATAAATGCGCCCGAGCTGCACCACGAACGGGTGCCCCACGGCTTTACACGCGCGCACGTTCGTCTTCAGGATGGAGCCCAGCTGTCGCACCGTCTCGGCGTCCTTCAGGATGTCCACGTTCTGAAAAAAACACAACAACGCCGCCATTTATTTAGTCCGCAGTTAGTTTGTTTTCAGGTTGAGCCGTTCACTCCCAAAGAGAAATTTTATGTCTTGAATCTGCTGCACAACTCACCAAAGACTGTGCAGCTTCAATGCAACATTTGGGAAAAACTTCAACTAGCAAACAAAATCCTTTAATAAACTTGTTCAATTTCATTCAGTAGTTTAAGATAAATGCTTTTAAAATTATGTAAATTTTTTTGGGACACCCTGTTATTTTCTTAAGATGATTGTCGGTGTCATAATCAGACATGTTGTCGCTAACATTCCGAGCAGTAAACAAAGTGAACCAGGCTCATATACTTATGGCTCTAGCTCTCTCGTTAGCTCTCTCGTTAGCTCTCTCGTTAGCTCTCTCGTTAGCTCTCTCGTTAGCTCTCTCGTTAGCTCTCTCGTTAGCTCTCTCGTAAAACACTGCCAAACAACTGAAGAAAGTGATGGATCGGTGCGCGGCTGTCACCTGGCGGCCGCGCGCAGTGGTACGTACGGAGAGAAAATAGCGCCAAGCGATTATGAGATCTGACTTTTTTGGCGACGATGGTTTTGTGATGCAAATGTATCACTCTTTTGAACACATATTGCTTTGAGAAGAAAAACGCTTTAGTATACAGTCCCCACACAACTTGCCGAACTACTTTCCTCAGCACCAAAACGGGCCAGTATCTCGGCTCACCGGACGCTTTCGGGGGTAAGTCAGTGTTGATGCACAACACTGATGACGGGGATGACACACAGATTCATGTCAAAAATCCTGAACTATCCCTTTAACACGTTTGAATGACTCTGTTCTACGTTACACCTCCGGGGAGCCTCACCTTGGTGGCCTGCTGGATGATGCTGTCCCACACCTGGTTTGGCAGTAACATGTATTTCTCTATGAGCAGCTCCTGGACCGCCTGATCCGTCTGCGCTCCGATCATGTAACCCACCGCCTCGTAGAACGTGTGCACCTGAAACGGACAGAGAGAAACAGGAGAAATGTGTCAGGACAGGCACGAGACGATGAAAAAACGTGAACTAAAGGACCACAAAATATCACAAAAATTCCTCCGTAACCGTCACTGCATCTAGACTTCCAAATATTTCTGTTGTCAAGGCTGCATTCTCTTAAACAACCACCAGATGGAGCACAGTCAGTTTGAGAATTAAACAAACGGACGCACTGCAAATTTCTCTGATCTGATTAAGATTTTAAAACGTATATTAGTTTATTCATCATGTTTTCAGATTTATTATTTACTTACTAAATCTGAGACGCTTCTTTCTAGTCTCAAGGTGATTTCTTTTAGGAGAACTTGTCCAGTAAAATGATCTTGCTGCATGGTAAGGTTGGGCAGTATGACGGTTTCCCGTGGTATCAAAAAGTAAGTAAGTCTCTATTTATATAGCGCTTTTCACAGACATTTTTTTGTCACAAAGACGGTTTTCAGTATTATTCATTCACTCTATACCTGGTGATGGTAAGCTACCGTCGTAGCCACAGCTGCCCTAGGGCAGTCTGACAGAAGCGCCATACCAACCAGCGCCATCGGTCCGAAGTGTCTTCCCTAAGGACACAGTTATTGCCACATTGACTGATTGCATGTTCTGGGTTGACACTCGCGCACGGATCCATCACTTTGTTCAGTTGTTCGGCAGTGTTTACGTGCGCAGACCGTCGCGACGTGAGAGCTAACAAGAGAGCTAGAGCCATAAGTATATATATAAGCTCGTATAAGATACATAAGAATATATCTAAAAAATGGTGCAGACTCTTGATTCTCCAGGCTGTGAACCAGGCAGCGCGCAGTGATACGAACGGAGAGAAAATAGTGCCAAGCGATTATGAGGTCTGACTTTTTGGAGGACGATGGTTTTGTATCACTCTTTTGAACACATGTTGTTTTGAGAAGAAAAACGCTTTATTTTAATGTCCCCAGCACAACTTGCCGGACGACTTTCGTCAGCACCGAAAACGGCCAGTATCTGGGCTCGCCGGACGCCGTCGGGGGTGAGTCGGTGTTGATGCACGACACTGCTCACGGGGATGACACACAGATTCATGTCAAAAAACCCGAACTATCCCTTTAAGCACTAGTCTGCGGCCCTCGATCAATCCTCTGCTTTGTATGTGGCCCTTGATGAAAAAAGTTTGGACACCCCTGTTCTAAATGGTCTAAATATCGTGTTTAGTTTAGTTAATAGTCTAGACATATGTTAAATTCCTTGCCGACTGCACCCGTTTTGTTATTGTATTGCTATTGTATAAAATACTTAAGTGACAAAAAAAAAATTTAAAACATCATGTAAACGTGGCCATCGTCAAATAGTTTCAAATAAAAGTATGAGTAAAAGCCGTGGACGTTTAGTTAAACTCGTCGTTAAAGCGAGTCTGACCTGTTGTGGCTGCAGGTCACAGATGATGGTGTTGATGTTGTTGAGGATCTCGTCGATAAAAGGCATCACTTCTCCCACCTGCACCTGGACAAAATGGCGCCGGCACTTCTGGGCGATTTTGATGAAGGTGTCGCACGCCATGTCCTGCACGCCGTCATGAGTCTCTGCGGAAAAAAAACAAAACAGCAGAAGAAGAAACAAATTTAACGTCAACAGACACATGGAGCTGCGTTAGAAAAGTGAATGACTAATGGACTAAAAGAGTATGTGCGTGGTTGTCATGGTCGGGGTTGGCTGCTCTTGTGGCTGACTGGCTGGCACACTGAGCGGTTTACAAATTTTTTTTTTATCTTAAATTTTTTACTTTGCATTTTGGGATTTTGACGGACTAAAAAGTGCAGCAGTTTGTGCAGTTCGAAGGACGGACGTTAAGGAACGCTGGATCGTGAGATTTGAGCGGTTTGTTTTGACCAGTAACCATGGCGACGCAAATCTGAAACACTACAGGTTTTGTCTGGTCTCATCACCGACCGAAACGACAGAGAGCAGAGAGAGAGAGAGAGAAGGAGAGAGGGAAGGAGAGAGACAGAAAGAGAGAGACAGAGGGAAGGACAGAGAGAGAGAGGGAAGGAGACAGAAAGAGAGAGAGAGGGAAAGAGAGAGAAGGAGAGAGGGAAGGAGATAGAGAGAGGAGGAGAGAGGGAGAGAAGGAGAAAGGAGAGAGAGATAAGGAGAAAAGGAGAAGAGAGAGGGGGAGAGGGAGAAGGAGAGAGAGAGAAGGAGAGAAAGAAGAGAGAAAGAGAAGGAGAGAGAGAAGGAGAAGAGAGAGGAGGAGAGAGAAGGAGAGAAAGAGAAGAGAGAGAGGGAAGGAGAGAGAGAGAAGGAGAGAAAGAAGAGAGAAAGAGAAGGAGAGAGAAGGAGAAGAGAGAAGGAGAGAAAGAGAAGAGAGAAGAAGAGAGAGAAGAGAGAGAGAAGGAGAGAGAGAGGAGAAGATAGAGGAGGAGAGAGAAGGAGAGAGAGAGAGAGTAGGAGAGCGGGAAGGAGAGAGGCTTGAAGAAACGTTCCTATTAGGGATGCAACGATACAGTTTTCTCACGAGTCGATTCGTATTTCGATACACGAGTCATGATATCGATTCGATTTCGATACGCTTTATGACAGACAAAAAAAAAATCTTATGTAATTTTTTTTTAAACTTATGAATATAATGTAAAAACACTTTTATTTAGAATATTTAGAATTTTTATTTAGTGAAAATAAATTGTGAAATAAGAGTTTCTCAGGCTGTTTTATATTTTATAATAAACCAGTCGACTCTTCATGAAGACTGAAGGGGAGTTAAACTATCAGACTTTTTCCTTTTTGATGATGATTTGATGATTTCTTTTCCTCCCGAGTCTCTCCTCTCGCTGCCACCTCCAGCAGAGACAGTACGTAGCTCCTCCCACTCTGCCCCCTCCAGTCTGTGCTCTTACAGACACACTGCGCTCTAACATCCTCTTTCTGGAAACTCAGACTCTGTTATATTACACAGAAATGTCTCAACACACAGTTTTCTTATGACTTACGTGATAGAGTCTAAGAAAAAGATTGTGTTTATCGCGAGTCACGCATTTGATTAAAGCCGATGTGAAGCCAAAAGCGATTCTATTTATGTATTTAAAAGTGAATCTCTGTCATTCCTGAGTCTATCAACATAAAAAAAAAAAAAAAAAGCGACTGAAAGATAAAACCATCCTCTGTTAGGATATTTCAGCTTTAAGTCCTTATAGAGCCGTTTTCTGTTGCATCTGAGGAGGACGCCAAGAGAACTGGAGAACCTTTCGGAAGAAAATAAATGAGAACACAGAGACCTGGAGGGACACACGTGGATCGACTGAACACATCGTAAGATCAGTATCAAACGATTCGAAATTATCTTGAATATCGTTGTGTCCCTAGTTCCTCTTGTGTCTCTGGAGCTCACCTGGCGCCCCCTGGAGGCTCCTGTGATGCTGCAGGACACAAAGGAGGAACACTTTTGTCCTGAGGGTTGTTACTCAAACTGCCCTGACACCGGATCTGACGACTCCACCTGCTCAGATTCTGTTTGAGCTTTTCTATTTTGATTATTATTATGATTATTATGTTACTACTGTGTGTTGAAACGGCTCTTCACTGACAAATGGTGATACTGACTGATTAGTTTCTCTTTCTCTTGACGCTATTAAGTTACAGATCAGTTCTGCGTCTCACCGTGCATGAACTCAAACAGTTTGTTGACGACGGTCTTGAGGAACTTCCAGTGCGCCCGGAGGAAGCGCGGGTACTGCCCCACGATGTACATGATGTTTGAGGCGATGATGGCCTTGTTGTCTTTGCCCCGTTTCTGCTCACACAAACCCAGCAGGTCCTGAAAGACACAAACGCCACGGATAAAAGTCACGTCTGTGTGTTTAGGGGTAAAGTAAACCGGTCTGGACAGGGTCTGGACAGGGTCTGGACAGGGTCTGGACAGGGTCTGGACAGGGTCTGGACAGGGTCTGGACAGGGTCTGGACACGGTCTGGACACAGTCTGGACACAGTCTGGACACAGTCTGGACAGGGTCTGAAAAAGGGCTGAACACGGCCTGAAAAGGGTCTACACACGGTCTGAACAAGGGCCTGAACGTGGTCTAAATGCGGTCTAAACGTGGTCTAAACGCGGTCTAAACGCGGTCTAAACGCGGTCTAAACGCGGTCTAAACGCGGTCTAAACGGTCTAAAACCGGTCTAAACACGGTCTGAACAAGGGTCTGAACAAGGGTCTGAACAAGGTCTAAACGCGGTCTAAACAAGGGTCTGAACAAGGGTCTAAACGCGGTCTAAACGCGGTCTAAACACGGTCTGAACAAGGGTCTGAACAAGGGTCTGAACAAGGGTCTGAACAAGGGTCTGAACAAGGGTCTGAACACGGTCTGAACAAGGGTCTGAACACGGTCTGAAAACACTAAACACGGTCTGAAACACGGTCTAAACACGGTCTAAACACGGTCTAAACACGGTCTGAACACGGTCTGAACACGGTCTGAACACGGTCTGAACAAGGGTCTGAACAAGGGTCTGAACAAGGGTCTGAACAAGGGTCTGAACAAGGGTCTGAACAAGGGTCTGAACACAGCCTGGAGCGGGTCTGAACCCGGCCTGGACCCGGCCTGGACACGGCCTGGACGCGGCCTGGACCGGGCCTGGACGCGGCCTGGACGGGCCTGGACGCGGCCTGGACGCGGCCTGGACGCGGCCTGGACGCGGCCTGGACGCGGCCTGGACACGGCCTGGACACGGTCCGTACCTTGATGACGGTGACGAGGAACCTCTTCTCGTCCTCCTCGTGCATGGCGCCGCTGATGGAGCCGATGGCCCAGCACAGCATGTTCAGGTTCCTCCAGCTCCACTCGGTGCCGTTCACCTGGTTATGGAGCTTCTCCGTCATGATGCGCTCGGTGTCTGCGTAGTCCAGGTGAGTCAGGTACACTGCAGGAGACACACACACACACACGAGGGTCAGGAGCTATGCAACAACTTCTGCTTTAAAGACGACATACTGTGCTTGTGTGTGCTCTATAAATCCGTGTATCATTCGTTCATTTGTTTTTCAAAATAAAACCAAAAATAAGAAACTGAAAAAACAACTATTTTCTTCATTATTTGTCTCCAAAACCAAAATGAAAAAACAGATAACGATTAGTTTTTTCAGTTTTCAATTTTGTGCTTAAATGAAAAATGGAAAAAACAGATAACGACCGTTTCCCGTTTACGTGACTTAAACTGTGACGCCAGACTGAACCAGGACTAAATCGTTTTCAGTCCCGGTCTTGGTCTCGGTCCCGGTCGAAGTCCTGGTCTGGTCTCGAACCTGGTTCAGTCCATCACCACAGTTTAAGTCACGTAAACGGGAAATGGTCGTTATCTGTTTTTTCCATTTTTCATTTAAACACAAAATCTTTTAAATTGTACTTAAAGAGTCATGTTATATTTATATATGAATATTTATATAAGAGCTGTAAAAATGCTAATTTTTCCTTGTCAGTTGTCAGTGTCTTAACGAGATCTTAGTGTGAATCAGAAAGAATTAAGAGTTAATAAGATACTTTGTCTGCACTCTGTTTTACTGTGTTGTACTGTGTATTACTGTAGTACATTTGAGTATCACAGTACTTCAGTTACATTCAAAGTACCAAACAGAAGTGTGGGGACATGTTCCAGTTTGTTCCAGTAAAATCACTGCATTTATCAACTGTAAAAAAATATATATTTTCTAAAAACATCTATTTTTTTAAGAAGCAGTAAGTCTTCTCAAGTCACAGGGCTCAAGTCCGAGTCAAGTCCCAAGTCATTGACCTTCAAGTCCGAGTCGAGTCCCAAGTCACTGACCTTCAAGTCCAAGTCAAGTCCTAAGTCTCAGTCTCGGGCTAAGCAGGTGTGAGTGTGGGACATAGAACACTACACACTCAGGCTGGAGCACGGTTCAAAAGGCAAAAAGTGTGAGTGAAACCATAATCTCTGAACCGTGGACCACTGTGTTATAATCTGATCATTTTAAATTAGAACATTCATCTAAAAAGACTTGATAAAAGAAACAGACTGACTTGGTGTTTGGTCTTACCCAGAGTCTCCCTCATGTTCTTGTACAGGTTGATGGCGTCCGTGTCCTTCATAAACTCCCGGACCACTTCTCCCTGATCGTTCTCCACCACCAGGACCTCCTCGGGTTTGGCCATTCTGCTCACCATCAGGAGACGCACCTGAGGAGACCACACGGGAGGAGGTTCATCGTCACCGACCAGGTCCAGTATTCCACTACATCTCTCCTCACCGCAAAATCTGTATTAAATGTCCCATCTGATGGAAAATAATTCTTTTCACATTGTATCTTCTGCACATAAACAAGCAGAAATGGTGGCAGAAATACGCTGCGATTTGCTAAAAAAAAAAAAAACGCCGAATCAATATAAAAAAAAACACTTAGGCGACAAACGCATCACTCTGAGAAGGTAGAAAGCTCTGAAAAGTTGATTTTGCATGAGATGGGCCCTTCAAAGTCTTGCCTGTGAGAGTTTTAAATGTCCTAGACTACTCAAAACTGACTCCTGTGAGCTTCAAGTCATGTTTTAATTAGGGGTGTGCAAAAATATCGGAATATCGATATATCGTATGGTTTAATGTGATGATACAGTATTAATATCATGGGCTGCTGTATCGATATATCACCAAGAGTGTTTTTTGGTAGATTTTACAAAATTATTTTGTCACAGCTACAGTTTTGTTGCTTGTGGAGTGAAAGGAAACTCATTTATGCAACACATTTGACATTTTCACTGTTTTGATGATTAAAATGTTTGTTTCATATGAACTTTGCACAAGAAGTGGTTTAACAAAGACTTTTAGTATCACAGCCATGATTTACTCTTTATTTTTTATTGAACCGTATCGAATTGATTTGAAATATATCATATTGAATCGAAAGTGCACTGTATCGAGATATGTATCGTATCGTGGCCTGTGTATCGAGGTATGTATCGTATCGGCAACTTCTTAATGATACCAGCCCTAGTTTTAATGCTGTTTCCTCCACAGAAACAGACCTGGAGTTGTGTTTTGTTGAAGAACTCGGCCTAAATCTGCGAGTGTGAGTTTAAACATGTGTGAATGAAACAAAACTCAACTCCAGGTCTGTTTGCGATAAAGAAACGACATTAGAACACATCAGATAATATTGTCGTGTGGGGCGTTTAAAGCCCGCGGTCCGACCTGTGAGAGCACGGGCAGGTACAGGTGTCTCCTCGGGGGCACGTCTGACAGGAGCGGGGTGGAGGCGGTGGAGAAGGGGCTCTCTCGGTACAGCTCCGCGGACAGGTGGTTCCAGTACTCCAGGCAGATCTTAAAAATCTCCGTCTCCTCCACCTCGGACACCAGCAGCATGTAGTGCAGAGCCTGGACCAGGGAAAAAAAATAATAATTTTAGAGATTTTAGAACTTGTATAGGCGAGTTTCATCTGACGTCATTGTTATTAAAAGCCCGTGTTGCTGCTGGGAAATATTTTGGTCGGAGGCAGAAACACAGTAGCGTCAAACACAGTGTGTAACCTCGCGTATTTCTAACTGATAATGGTAAATTCCTGCTGCATTATCGGATGCACAAATAGAAGCACGAAAGAAGGAAAATGTCTTTTTCGCATTCTGAGTGAAAAGAACCACTAACGGAGAATTAAACGACTTTCAAACATCCACAGAGCAAACGTAGAAGATCCTAACAAACCGTGGACTCAACAAGTTCAACAACACATCCAGACTCTTGGAGGTTTTCATCTTTTCTGTTGTGAATGGCCCAGGAGTTTCCACCAAGTCATTGTGGATGTCGCCCAAGTGAATATTTGTCCAGGGAGTTGGAGATTCTGACCAGAAATTTGGTTTGGTCCAGACTCTGTCGGGGTTGAAAAGGGTGATTTGTCGTCCGTCGATGCTTATGACTAGGGATGGGCATTCGATGAAATTTTCTTAATCGATCGTCGGAAGAATTAACGATCGATTATCGATTAATCATTAACGTTTTTATATTAAAATGATCATCATTATTATTACTATCTGCACTAATCTGCATAAATAAATTCAACTTTACGACATATAAACATAACGACTCTAGAGCCACATCAGCTATTTGACATTATAATGTGTTTAATTCAGTTTTGTTCAAATCTCACAGAAACAAAACTTAAAACCACATCACTAATTTACATAAACTAAGTGAAGATAAAACTCCAGCTCTTGTGTCGCTGATGTGGTTCAACTTGTGTTGGATTAAAAGACATGACTCAGGTGAATACAGGTCAGTGTGACCAGATTTGTGTTTGTCAAAACCAGGACAGCGTACGGGGGGAGGGGGGCGGGGCCTCGTCATCCACATTGAGCGACTCTCACCTGGAAAAACTTTTTCCCACTGGACACAGAAACATATGTGCTGCTTTATACACTGTGCACATGGACTCACACTTGTCCCAACGCAACGGAAAGTGTGGAATTTCTTCTACAAATCCTGGTTAAATCCACATTTGTGCTTCGGTTCGTTACAGACTGACCCACTGTTTGTGTGTCGCTCCTTCTGATGCAGAGACACATGTACACACCTGTTTGGTCACGACACACACAGCAACCTACATTCAGTTTGTCAATTAAAATGAACATAATCGATGAAATTCTTAATGATCAATTATCGATTAATCGACTAATCAAGCCCATCCCTACTTATGACCAATTTCTGGTCAAATGGTCTTGGGTCCTCTGCCGTTAGAGTGGATAAATAACCGGGATCAATACCCTTTACGTGCTTTCTCGCTCCGTCCGTCATGTTGAATTAGTGTTTCTTGCCGCCGACCAAAATAATTCCCAGCATGCAACGCGCGCTTTTGTCAACAATGAAACTCGCCTATTAAACACATCCATCCTTCTGTTCTCAGGTGAACGTCTGAGGTTGAGTCACTCTTAGACACACAACACATCAAAATATTTAACACCGGTGGATGATTATGTTACAATTTGTAATCTGTAGGGGATTACATTTTAAAAGTCACCTTCCCAAAACTGGAAATATGTGACGTTAACAGTCTGTTGTTCTCTCTTCTGCTGTTTTTACTACAACTTCACTTTACACAGGAAATGTCGGCTCCTGCTCTCCGATTTTATAAAATAAATAAGTCGCACTTTTTGTGGGAAATGTATGTTTTTTTCTTCATTATGCATTTTTTTTTGGCTGGTGTGACTTATACTTCAGAGCGACTTACAATAAATGGTATTTCTCAGCTGTAACATGGTTAAAAGTTCCGAAAAGTCGATTTTTAAAACAGACCTATTCTGCAAAAAACATGAAAATCTAAAAATCTAAACCCAGATACTGAAACCAGCATAAGACCAGATGATATTAAATGATTCTCTCTTATTTTGTGTTTAAAACTAGTGTGATGAAGTGTTTTTAATCCTGATAATAGTACTGAACTAAAGTGTGAAATTTAAACCGATCGCTGTGCCGTATTATCATTGAAACTCCCCCTGCCCCCTGGTGGCGGAGTGGCGTCACCGCACCTCCATCAGCGTCTCTCGGAGGCTGGGTCTCTTCTCGATGAGCTGCCCGTGCTCCTTCAGGAACGTGCAGAGGAACAGGCTCAGGTTCTGGATGAAGTTCTGCTCGTCGTCTTTGCCGCTGGAATAGGCCACGCGGATGTTTGTGCTCAGCGGAAGCATCTGGAACGAGAAGAGAAGAAGAAAATAAAGATCTATAAAAACTGGCACGGTTAGTTTAAAGTAGTTTTAAGTGTTGTCAGCTGAAAGGATTTTAAGTGGTAATATTAATATGACAAGTTTGTGGAGTCAGCGATAAATGAAGAGTGAGAAGTTCAACATTTGTGGATCAAAAGTTTGGAGATTTATTTCAAAAAATGTGAATCTCCCATAGAGTTATATTATGTAAAAGTCCAAATCACCTGTCCTCTCCTGTCCCTGTATGTCCTCCCGTCCCCGTCCCCCGCTGTCTCTCTCGTCTCCTCCCATCCCCCCGCCTGTCTCTCCCGTCTCCTCCCGTCCCCCTGTCCCCTGTCCTCCGTCTCGTCTCTTCCCGTCCCCCGCCTGTCTCTCTCGTCTCTCCCGTCCCCCGTCTCCCGTCTCTCTGTCTCTCCCGTCTCTCCCGTCCCCCCGCCTGTCTCTCTCGTCTCTCCCGTCCCCCGCCTGTCTCTCCCGTCCCCCCCTGTCTCTCCCGTCTCCTCTCGTCCGTCCCCCGCCTGTCTCTCTCGTCTCTCCCGTCCCCCGCCTGTCTCTCCCGTCTCTCCCGTCCCCCGCCTGTCTCTCTCTCTCGTCTCTCTCCGTCCCCCCGTGTCTCTCTCGTCTCCCTCCCCGTCTCTCCCGTCCTGTCTCTCTCGTCTCCTCCCGTCCCCCCGCCTGTCTCTCTCGTCTCTCCCGTCCCCCCGCCTGTCTCTCTCGTCTCTCCCGTCCCCCCGCCTGTCTCTCTCGTCTCTCTCGTCTCTCCTGTCCTCACCTGTTTGAGTTGGCACATGGTCAGCGTGAACAGACTGACAAACTGCTCCTCGTACTGGCTCACGCTCACGCCGGCGATCTCCGTCAGACACTTTAAAGTCACGTTACGGAACATCGGCACGTTCAGGAACTGCAAAACACACACAAGAACAACTATTATTTATATTATTATTAAGATAATTCAGTTGTTTTACACGTTTGCTCAGAACAGAGACATTAGAGACGCTGGAGACAGTAAACTTTAAGCAGGGACTTGAGCTCCGGACTTGAGCTCCGGACTTGAGCTCCGGACTTGAGCTCCGGACTTGAGCTCCGGACTTGAGCTCCGGACTTGAGCTCCGGACTTGAGCTCCGGACTTGAGCTCCGGACTTGAGCTCCGGACTTGAGCTCCGGACTTGAGCTCCGGACTTGAGCTCCGGACTTGAGCTCCGGACTTGAGCTCCGGACTTGAGCTCCGGACTTGAGCTCCGGACTTGAGCTCCGGACTTGAGCTCCGGACTTGAGCTCCGGACTTGAGCTTGAGCTCGGACTTGACTTGGACTTGAGCTCCGGACTTGAGCTCCGGACTTCTGCCGTTGGGGCGTTTTGTCATTTTTGTCGTTGGGGCGTTTTTGTCGTTTTGGAGGTTTTGTCGTTTTTGTCATTTGGGCGTTTTTTACCTTGTAGACCAGAGTGCTGATGAGTTTGGTCTCAAAGATGTAGCCCAGAGGAATCCAGTTGAGGAAACGCAGGAGAGTCTCCAGCGTGGCGTGGACCAGAGGGGCATTCTGAGAGTTCTCCTAAAATAAGACAAAAAATATGGAAGTTTTAATGAGTAACGTGTTTAACATTGTATGGAAGCCCATTTTTTTCAGTAAATAAAAAATAAAAGCCTCACAGAAAGTCATAATTACGAGTTCAGAAGTCATAATAACGGGTTTAAAAGTCATAATAACGGGTTTAAAAGTCATAATAACGGGTTTAAAAGTCATAATTATGAATTTTACAGTTGACTCTGAATCTGTCCTCGTCACGGAAGCACACGGTCATTTTCCTGGAGAGGTCGTCCTCCAGGTCTTCCGGACGTCTCCACATAACTCCATTTCCTCGTTAACTTGTGAATGTCGTAAAAAGTAAAGAAAGAGAGGGATATCCACACGAATCCCACATGAATGAGTATGTGAAAAGTGTCCATCTCTGTTCCTCTGTCCGTGGAGCTGGTTTTGTCCGAACGGGGATGAAGAACCTTTGACTCTGTGGTTCAGCCGCTCTCCTGGCCCTGGTCGGGAATTGATGAGCTTTGCTTTGCTCAGTGATGAAAATATGGGCACATAATAATTTACATACAGTGTGAAGTAAATTAGGAAAATAACTACACATTTTTACTTGTAGTGGGTTCATACACGACTTCTACAGGAAAACAGTGGCACCAGCCCACGTGCTCGCATGGTGAGAGCAGGCGCAGAGTCAACTTCGAAAACTCATAATTATGACTTTCTGTGAGGCTTTTATTTTTTATTTATTGGAAGAAATTGTACATTGTATTTTTTTCTAAATATAATTTTCTTACCATAACGAACTGGCACAGCTGAAATATTTGTGAGAACTCGTTGCACATGCTGAAAAACACAAAACAAGATTCAGATTTCAGAAAAACGTTTGTTACTTAAACAAACCTGATTATTGAATGCATCTGAATATTTTACATCTAAAACCTCGTTAATGGATATATTTAGACCTACCAAGAAATTAAGAATTTGGAGCCCACATTGTGCAGTCTAGAATATTTAAGTTTTATGCCTTAATTAGCTCACCTGGTAAAATACTGAATAAAAATGCTCACCCGTCCTTCAGGTATTTGGCACGTAAATACTGAATAAACTGTGTAAATATAAATAAATGTAAATATAAGGCTCTGACCTGTCCTTGAGGTGTTTGGCTTTGACCTGGGTCATCTGCCCGCTGCTGAAGTCAAACACCTCCTCGCTCAGGAGCTTCAGGATGATCATGTTGTTCTGACAGAGGCTCTCGCTCGTGCGACTCGCCCCGACGATGTCACTGATGAAGGACGGCCAGTGCTTCGGCCACTCCTGCTTCAGGATCTGGACACAGAACAGAGAACAAAGAACAAAGAAGAGAGTTACACACCAGTCGGCTTATTTTACATTCCCACAGTAGCAACGAGAAACACTACGCCTTATCTTATATTTAGATTTACGGGCTGCACATGTTGGGTGGTGCTGCTTCTATTGGAATCAGTGTTCGTTCTACCATTTTACAGGCTCTACTCACGCAGGACGACGTTTGGAAAGATGCGACGACAACTTCCCAGGCCCAGTTCTCTTCATGTCATTGTCAGTGTTGGGGAGTAACAGATTACATGTACCGGAGTAATGTAATCAGAGTACAAATGATGAGTAACTGTATTCAGTTACAGTTACTGTTTCAGTGAGTGGTAATTGGATTACAGTTACTTTACTGAAATAAATGGATTACACAGAGGGATTTTGCCGTTTTCACATTTTGGGCTAAATCCCCAGGTCTAAACTAGATCTAAACCAGGTCTAAACCAGGTCTAAACTAGACCTAAACTAGACCTAAACTAGGACTAAAACCAGGTCTAAACTAGATCTAAACCAGGACTAAAACCAGGTCTAAACCAGGACTAAAACCAGGTCTAAACCAGGACTAAAACCAGGTCTAAACCAGGACTAAAACAAGGACTAAAACCAGGTCTAAACTAGATCTAAACCAGATCTAAACTAGATCTAAACCAGGCCTAAACCCAGGTCTAAACTAGACCTAAACCAGGACTAAAACTAGGTCTAAACTAGATCTAAACCAGGACTAAACCAGGACTAAACCAGGACTAAACCAGGTCTAAACCAGGACTAAACCAGGACTAAACCAGGTCTAAAACAGTGTTTCCTCTTCTATCAATAATATTTTTAATTTGCTTCAGTAAAGTCTGGGCTTTTTATTTCTTATGTTACATTATACTCGTCTTTGTTTCTCTACAGCAAATCAAGTAATCCAAAGTATTCAGATTATGTTACTCACTTTAAGTAATTTAATGGATTCTGTTACAAACTACATTTTGGGGTATGTAATCTGTAATCTGTAGGGGATTACATTTTAAAAGTAAACTTCCCAACACTGGTCATTGTAGTATTCTGTTATGTTTGTCTCATGAACGATTCCAACCACACCTCAGTTTTCATCATTTCCCCGCTGACGCACAACTCCGAGTTCACCGGGTTCACGCGATTAGAAGAGACGAGGCCCCAAACTCCAGACGATTCCAAACAGCACATACGTCTGCCTTTCTTCATTCTACCGCTGATCACGTTTACTTCAGTGGGTTTGATCGCGGTGTCGGGAACTGCACCGGAAGTCGTCGTCGCATCTTTCCAAACGTTTTCCTGGTTTGTGACGTAAGCGTGAATAGCGCCCCCTGCCCTGTCAGTCTAATTATGCGGCGTTTCCTGTCCTCAAAAGAACTTTTTAACCAAATCTGTTTTACTGCTCCATAAAAAACTAAAATTGTATTCACAGAAACCCAAGCTCACTCAGGAGGAAGTTACACTGAGGTTTGCAGATGAGAATAAAATGGATATTAACACTCAGTCGCACTTCGTAAATGAATAAAATAAAAACTAAATAAATAAGTCTGTTAGCAGCGTCTGACAGATAAAAGTGTTGGCGCTCAGAGCTCTGCAAATAATTTTGTAGAACCCGCACATAGATCGATTTGCATGTCAAATATTCTCCAAACTCATATAATCGAGATGAAACGATAACGTTTATTTTGGGATGTTTTTTATATAAATAACTATATTTATGATATTTTTTAAATATACAGATTGTAGAACAGCTGGATATAGTTTATTTTGGTTACATTTAAGTTTTTTTATCCAAGTATATTTTATTTAAGGGTTGTTCAGTGGCCAAATACGTCACTATGTTTAACTTAAACTCTTGACTGCAAATGAAATGTTTGAAATTCATTTGTATGTTTAGTGAGCGTGTTGGTGTTTTGTACTTTTGTGTGATTGTTGTTGTACTTTTCCCTGACCTGTAGATGATTTCACATGAACCTGCCGAGGGACTGAAGATGGAAATGAGCCACACCGGCTTTAATCTTTACATATTTACATATAAAATATGCACTGATATGTGCTCTCCCTTTACGAATAAATATAAGAATAAATCTATGGGCTATAGTTAAACTACACATTTTGGGTGCTGCTTCTATTGGAATGTAGTGTTTCCTCTAACATTATATTGTCAGTGTAATTATGTGGCGCTCATCACCTGTCGTCAAAACAAGAGTCTTTACCAAATCTGTTCCACTGCTCCATAAAAAACTAAAAGTGTATTTAAGAAACCCGAGCTCAGAAAGTGTCCGGGCTCAGGAGGAAGCTACACTCGGGTTTGTAGATGAGAATAAAATGCATGTTAATGTTCAGTGGTACTTTGTAAATTAACAAAATACAAACTAAATAAGTCTGTTAGCAGCGTCTGTTTGACAGATAAAAGTGTTTGCGCTCAGAGCTCTGCAAATAGTTTTGTAGAACCCGCACATATGTGAAGAATCCCTCAGTCGTCCAGGTAGAATCCATGAGGAGAAAATTCAGTTTGTCGACTGGACAAAAGTTAGTTTGGTTGAAGACGTTTCGCAGCTCATCCAAGCTGCTTCTTCAGTTCTGAAGAAGCTTGTCCAGTTGACAAACTGATTTTTTTTTCCTCGCCATGAAACCCCACATAGTAAGTCTGTGCAATTCACTGAATTTTGATCACGATTTTGATTTGTGTGTCAAACGATCTCCAAACTAATGTAAAAGAGTTGAAAGGATTAAAGCTTAAGTTTATTTTGGGATACTTTTTATATAAATAAGTATATTTATTTATTTATTTTTTTAAATATAGAGATTGTAGAACAGAGTTTATTTTGGATATGTTTAAGTTTTTCTATAAAAGTATATTTTATTTATTTTATGTTTTATACATTGCAAAACTGCTCTAAGGTTCATATTTGTAGGCTGAATTTATTTTCAAAGTGAAAGTTTTGCGTAATTTATCAATTACAAATTGTTTTGTTTTGTTTTTGAGAGACAGAAATGTTGAATAAATGCATCATGTACCTAAAAAATAATCATTTGAATAATCGTGATTTCAATATTGGCCAAAATAATCGTGATCATGATTTTTTTCCATAATCGAGCAGCTCTACCACATACTGTAGTAAAAACAACATTTACCTGAACCAGGATCATGTTGAGCTTTGAAATGTAAACTCCTTCTTTCTGCAGAAACACACAAAAACAGAGATTGTGGTGTTGGCAGAAGCAGAAGCAGAGACAGAGGTGTTCAGACTTAAAGAGTGTGAGGAGCACAAACCTCCACTGTGGACGGATCTGAGGACGTCTTGATAATCAAACCCACCACGTACTTTTTTATCCCTGAAAATACATTAAATAATAATAATTACAGGTCGTTCATGAGATCGAGTTTACAGCAGATAAGATTTGAGTGTTTTTGAGACTCGCCTTCACACTGGTGTCGGGGCAGAATTTTCCAACGCGTTTTAATCACAGCCTCCAAAATCTGCAGAGCGTAATACTGCAAAACAAAAGAGAGCAAGACGTCACCAACAGGCAGGAATCTAACCCATGTATCGGTTTTAGGAGCACATATCCAAGTGTCCTGGGTCACATTTGAAAAAGATCGGATCTGTGTGGTTCAGACTGTCATTAAAAGATCAGATACAGGAACATAGGGGCCAAAAAAATCTGATTTGGGTCACTTCAGGCTGCAGTCTGAACGCAGCCTTGATTAAGTGAAGTTGTTGTAGTTCTTTCTGGTCAGATCGTGTTGCTCAGATTAAAGTCTAACTTGAGTAACAGAGCTTCAGACAGAGTAGTGCTTTTAGTTAGCGTCACACAGCCAGAGATTTTTGAAGACACCAGCTGCACAGTGTCCATGATTTAGTCTGTACCTTGGTCTTCATGTTCTGTGAAAACTCCAGGATGGTGTCGACTCTGGTCCAGGCGTCCGGATGGTCCTTCAGGTTCGTCAGCACCTCCTGAGCCACACGTTGCTAAAAACAAAACAAAACATCCGGTTATTAAATTTACTAAACTAAAAAAGGCAACAACAGCCTCCTCAACAAAACAGTGGATTAAGGACATTTCAGAACGTATCGGCCTTGAAAGACTGACATTTATAGCAAAAGGAAAATGAAAAAACTTTGTGAAATTCTGGGAACCTTATTTGAATATCATATCCAAAAAATAGAAATGATGTATATGTATAATAATATTGTTATGCATTGGTGGTGATGGTGATAATACTAATAATTTTATATATTTTTTATTTTTTTTATTTTATTATTTTTATATTATTCTTATTCTTATTATTATTTACCTATTTTACTTTATTTTTTTAATGTATTTATTTATATTTTATTCTTATCTATCTACTCATTTATTTTTCTCTCTGCCAATTTTTTTTTTTTCTGAATGTAAATCTCGGACTTACCTGCGACTGATAAATTGTATTGTGCAAATATTGTTTAGTGAATATGTGAATGTGTGAATTGGCTTGTTATTATTATTATTATTTTATTTTTTTTTTTTCGGTTGTATGTTGACCTGTGTTAACACCGTGGTCAGTTGTTCATGTGAAACATTTTTTGGTCTGAAAATTAATAAAAATATTGGGGGAAAAAAAATTATAATAAATAAAAGGCAACGTTAAAAAGATGTCCTCTAGCTCTACATTTAAAAATATTTCTATTCTGCTTTAACAGTTTTTATGTCAACTGGACCAGTCAAATACATCAGATTTAGTCAAACTTAAAAATATTCATGTCAGCATTTTCTTTTTTAGTTTATCAAGTTCACGACCAGTCAAAAGTTTGGACACTCTTTTTCATTCATGTTTCTCTTTGCGTCCACGATTATTTACACTGCAGATTCTCACCGAAGCATCAGAACTGTGAACGAGGCGTGTGGAATGTGGCAAACAGAAAAGAAAAAAAAAAGAAATGGCCGTGCTTTACTTCGCAAATTCTGGAATCAGACGTCAGCGCTGACACTGAAAAATCAATTTGAATATTGTCTTCAATGTGTCGTTTCAGCCGGGACTGTGGTTGGAGGGGTTTTATTTTTGTTTTAAGGAAAATAAATGCTGTTTTCAGTCTCTGCTGTGGTATCGTTCATATTGTGTTTTGACAGATACTTAGAGTCAAAGTATCGGAAGCTGAACAAGACAGAATGCCTAATATTAAACTTAAAAAACATTTAGTTTAGCTCGACGCAGGAATCGACTAAAACACACGTCGTAGCTCGAAATGAGTCCTGAACTCTGCAGCGCGTCTTTTAACAGGGAGCAAAAAGCACAATCACGTCACCCATAGGACGTCTCGGACCTCATCCAGATTTACTCTCCCCGCACGTGCGCCGAGGTCTGAGGTCCAGCTCCAGCTCGTGGTCCCCAAAACGAGACTTAAAACCAGGAGGACCGGACCTTCTCTGTGACCGACCCCAAACTCTGGAACGTTCTCCCCCCTCCCCCCCACGTTCCAATGCCCCCACAGTGGAGAGTTTTAAGTCTCGTCTTAAGACCCACTTTTATTGTCTGGTTTTTAACACCTCGTGAGTTTTTTATTTATTTTTATTTATTTATTTAATTAATCAATTTATTTATTTACTTATTTTATTTATTTATTTTATAAAATGTATTTATTTACTTTTTTTAAATTAAATTTATTTATTTTATTATTATTATTATTAATTTTTATATTTATTTTATTGTTTTTTTTTAGTAATGCTTTAATGTATTGATTTTATTATTTTTGTTCATTTATTTTATTATTATTATTATTTTATTTATTGATTCTATTAGTTTCTTCAAAATTCTGCAGATTTATTTTTTATTTTTTTTAAGTAAACTGTTTTACATTGCTCTGTGAAGCACTTTGGAAACTACAATTTTTATTTTTTATTTTTTTAAACCAACTTTTTTTCAACTTTTAAATAAAGTTGGACTGGAGGAATTAAGCAAGGTAAAGATACTTTTATTTCATTACAATTTTTCAGAACTTTCTCCACCTCTGACAAAATGTAGAAAATAGTAAACAGTAGTAAAAAATCGAGTGAATGAGGAGGTGTGTCTTGTAAGTTTAATCTTTCCAGTTTTATTTGATTTTTTTCCAGTGTGAGTTTAAGTGTCGGCGGGCGGCGTCTCTCACCTGTGACCCGATGTCGTGGTACATGGAGTTGACCACATTGTCCAGAAGGTTGATGTCCAGTTTCTGGTTGAAGTCCAGCAGTTGTCGTGCTGGGTGATCGGCCAACATGGTCATTTCAGCGGGCATAGAGCTCCTGCGGCAGACGAGGAGGACGAGGAGGAGGCACGAGGTAAGAATAAAAGACACAAACAAATGTACTGAGGCTCGGCTGCAACGCAGAACCAATTATTCAGTGTTGGGAAGTTTACTTTTAAAATGTAATCCCCTACAGATTACAGACCCCAAAATGTAGTTTGTAACGTAATCCATTAAGGTACTTAAAGTGAGTAATGTAATCTGAATACTTTGGATTACTTGATTTGCAGTAGAGAAGCAAAGACGAGGAAATCTTCACATAAGAAGTTTTGTCTGACAAAAGAAAATAAAAAACCCAGACTTTACTCAACCAAATTAAAAATATTATTGATAGAAGATGATGAGACATGGTTTAGTCCTGGTTTAGACCTGGTTTTAGACCTGGTTTTAGACCTGGTTTTAGACCTGGTTTTAGACCTGGTTTTAGACCTGGTTTTAGACCTGGTTTAGTCAGGGTAAGTATAAAATAATCGTTTGAATAATCGTAGTTTCAATACTGACCAAAAATAAAAGTGATAATGATATGAATGATAATTTTTTTTAACATAATCAAGCAGCACTAATATGTTAACATCAAAATAAAACTGAAAATAAGTTTTTAAAAAATCACTTGCACATATTTATACATTTATATAATTATGTCTTATGAAAAGGCATAGAAAAACATAAATGTTTAACTTATTTCATATTCAAAGTATATTTTATTCATTTTGTTTTATACTTCGCAAAACTGCTCTAAGGTTCATATTTGTAGCCTATATTTAGTTTCAATTTGAAAGTTTTACATAAATGATCAATAACAAAGTGGTTTTTTTTTAGAGAAATGCTGAATAAATGTGTCGTGTAACTATAATCGTTTGAATAATCGTGACTTCAATACGGTCCAAAAATAAAAGTGATATTGATTTTTTTTTAACATAATCGAGCTGCACTAATATGTAAACATCAAAACTAAATTGAAAATAAGTTTTTTTAAATCACTTGAACATATTTATACATTTATATAATTATACCTTATGAAAAGTTAAACATTTATGTTTTTCTATGCCTTATTTCATGTTCAAAGTATATTTTATTCATTTTATGTTTTATACGTCACAAAACTGCTCTAAGGTTCAGATTTGTAGCTTCAATTTGAAAGTTTTGCGTAAATTATCAATAACAAAGTGTTTTTTTTGAGAGAAATGCTGAATAAATGCATCGTGTAAGTCGTAATTTCAATACTGAGGAAAATAAAAGTGATGATTTTTTTTTTTTTTTCATAATCGAGCAGCTCTAATATGTAAACATCGAAACAAAATTGAAACTTGCACATATTTATACATTTATATAATTATGCCTTATGAAAAGTTAAACATTAATGTTTTTCTATGCCTTATTTCATGTTCAAAGTATATTTTATTCATTTTATGTTTTATACATTGCAAAACTGCTCTAAGGTTCAGATTTGTAACTTCAATTTGAAAGTTCTGCGTAAATTATCAATAACAAAGTGGGTTTGTTGAGAGAAATGCTGAATAAATGCATCATGTAACTTGTAATTTCAATACTGACCAAAAATAAAAGTGATGATTTTTTTTTTTTTTTTTTTACATAATCGAGCAGCACTAACATGTAAACATTGAAACAAAATTGAAAATAAGTTTTTAAAAAATCACTTGTACATATTTATTCATTTGTATAACTATGCCTTACGAAAAGTTAAACAAGTTGTGACTCTTTCCAGTAAAACTACACATTACACGGACGTTAAAGTGTTTATTTAACCCAAAAGCAACAGACTTTAAGATTCGATTTAGCAATAAAAGCCACGGTCACATATTTGCTGCACAGTGTGAATGAAACGGCGCCCTCTGGTGTTTAAACTCAACCCGTGTGTGACTCAGATCATCCCCGCACCATCACTCCCCTCAAAAACTGTGCAAAAAGAGTTCAACAAATGTCTCACAATGGAAGTTTTTTTTTACACGAGAAGCTGAAAACTTGAATATCACGTAAAGAAATTCGTAAACATAACAACAATATCTAAAATAGTGAATTACTTTCTAAAACTTGGGAGGATGCTGAGCCCGTTTTAGCTCGCACAGACTTGAGATTTTCATAAAACTCACCTTTATTGTCTTGCCTTTTAGCCAAAAAATAACCAGAACGTGGGGACTTTTCGTGCAGAAGCGGCGATGCTCTTGCAGGAACTCGAAAGCGTTGATTCACCGTGATGTTTACGGTTAACCTCGATGCTAACGTTAGCTTCCGTATTTAACTCCAAATTAAAACGCGCATTAATGTCTAACGATATGCTTAATGACTCCCGGGCGTTTTAATGCGATGTTATGTGCATCCCTTTCCGGTGGTGAGAAGTATTTTAAAGAGGATGACTCGGAAAACATGCGAGGCTAACAGCGGTTCACTCGGCTATAGCAAAGTGAAGGGAGTTTTAGCTTAGCTTCGTTCGCGCAGCTAGGCTAAGTCTTCGGAACGGAGCGTTAAAGTAGCGCAAATCTCGGGCGGGGGAGGCTCTTAAAAGTGGCTCGGCGTTGGGTTTATGTCCGTGTGTGTTCGCGGGCGCAGTTGCGGATCGGTGTCGCGGGGTTTGGTGCGCGGAGCTGGTTCTTCTTGCCCATGCTTCAGTCACACTTAGACCGGATTAAACCAGTTGAAACCGGGACGCTCTTCTCTCGCGGCCCGTTGTCAGCGCCGCGGAAAATTTGGACCGCGGCTCTGCCCACGGAGGCGCTGATTGGTCCGGACGCGGCGCTACGTCACGCCGTGGGAGGGGCCTGAATCGTGTTTCTAAAGGTTTCTACGGGGTTCCACGGTCGTTTTTTTTTTACTTTATATTGCCGTGCACTTGCTCAAATTTCTTCAAAATAAAACCAAAAAAAATAAATAAATAAAATAAAAAAAAGTCTTCATTATTTGTCTCCAAACCCAAAATGAAAAAACAGATAAAAATTTGTTCAGTTTTCGATTTTTTTGTGTTTAAATTAATAATAGAAAAAAGAAAAAAAACAACAGATAATGGTCGTTTCCCGGACTGAACCAGGACCGAACCAGGACTAAACCAGGACTACACATGGTCTCAGTCCTGGTCTCAGTCCCGGTCTGGTCCCGGTCTCACTCCCGGTCTGGTCCCGGTCTCAGTCCCGGTCTGGTCTCAGTCTCAGTCCCAGCCTCACGCCTGGTCCTGGTCCCGGTCTGGTCCTGGTCTCAGCTCCGGTCCTGGTCCCGGTCTCAGTCCTGATCACCCGACAGTCTACGTGGGCGCACCTTCGGGCCTGTCTGGTTTAGACCTGGTTTAGACCTGGTTTAGACCTGGTTTAGACTTTGTTTAGTCCTGCTTCAGTCCTGGTTTAGTCCTGGTTTAGACCTGGTTTAGTCCTGGTTTAGACTTGGTTTAGACTTGGTTCAGTCCTGGTTTAGACCTGGTTTAATCCTGGTTTAGTCCTGGTTTAGTCCTGGTTCAGTCCGGCATCACAGTTTAAGTCATGTAAACGGGAAACGGTCGTGATCCGTTTTTTTCCATTTTTCATTTAAACAACAAAATCGAAAAAATTGGAAAAATTAATCATTATCTGTTTTTTCATTTTGGTTTTCAAATAATAAAGAAAACAGTGTTTTTGTTTTTTCGGTTCTTCTTGCCCGTGCTTCAGTCACACTAAACCAGTTGAATCCGGGACGCTCTTCTCTCTCGCTTCAGATTCTCGTGAACTTACTCAAATTTCTCTCATTTGTTGAACAGGAAAGTGAATAAAACGGATCAAAACTAACAAATTATATTTTAATATAATAATAATAATAATAATAATAATAATAATAATAATAATAATAATAATAATAATAATGCATTATTCTGATGTTTAGTGTGACCAGACGTCCCTGTTTACCCAAGATAGTCCAAGTTTTGAGCCGATTTATCCAAAACCAATGATTTGTCCCAGTTTGGTACAAAAAATGTCCCAAGAGTCCCAATTTTTGACCAATCTGATCCCTGACAACAGTAAAAAGAAGCATAAACTGAAAAGAAAAAGAAAATGATGCTTAAAAATGACCAAAACACAAAGAAAATGTGACTATAGTGACTCACATTAGTGCTGAATACAAAACATTTTTCCTTAATTACACACTCGATTTACAATTTTATTATTTCCAGTATAATCAGAGTCAATATAATCACATTTTGTTTCTGTTTTGGTCATTTTTAAGTATCATTTTCTGTATTTTACTGAAATAAATGACAATGTATGTCTCTTTTTACTGTTGTCAGGGAACAAATTGGTCAAAAATAGGGACACCTGGAACATTTTTGAGCATTTGAGCCTGTAGATTTATCCAAAACCACTGATTTGTCCCAGCTTTATACAAGAAATGTCCCCGGTGTTTCTATTTTTGACCAATTTGATCCTTGACAACAGTAAAGAGACACATAAATTGTCATTTGTTTCAGTAAAATACAGAAAATCTGCTTTAAAATGACCAAAACACAAATAAAACGTGACTCACATTAGTGCCGAGTGCATCACATTTTTTCTTAATTACACACTCGTTACACAATTTTATTCGTATCAACCAACCCAAACCAGTTTTAACTCTGAAAATCTGGTCACACTAAACATGAACTTACTCACACTTCTCTCCTTTGAGGAACAGCAGAGTGAATATAACAGATCAGAACTAACAAGTGATATTTTAATATAATAATAATAATAATAATAATAATAATAATAATAATAATAATAATGCTTTAGTTTTATGTCTTGTTCTGCACTCGGCCCATTCAGGACAGATGTGAGTCTGTAGAGTCACATTTTGTTTGTGTTTTGGTCATTTTTAAGCAGATTTTCTGTATTTTACCGAAACAAATGACAGTTTATGTTTCTCTTTACTGTTGACAGGATCAGATTGGTCAAAAATAGAAACACCTGGGACATTTCTTGTATAAAACTGGGACAAATCAGTGGTTTTGGATAAATCTACAGGCTCAAAACTAAGACTGTCCCGGGTCAACAGAGACGTCTGGTCACCATACAGACAAAATTTTGTTTTATATTTTTATTAAAAAAAATGTCCCAGGTGTCTCTATTTTTGGCCAATCTGATCCTGTCAACAGTAAAATACAGAAAAGCTGCTTAAAAATGACCAAAACAGAAACAAAATGTGATTATATTGACTCTGATTATACTGGTAATAATAAAATTGTGAATCGATTAAATTACGAAATTACGGAAAAATGTTTTGTATTCAGCACTAATGTGAGTCAGTATAATCACATTTTCTTTGTGTTTTGGTCATTTTTAAGCAACTTTTCTATATTTTACCAAAACAAATGTCAGTTTATGTCTCTCTTTACTGTTGACAGGAATCAAACTGGTCAAAAATAGAGACATTTCTTGTATAAAATTGAGACAAATCAGTGTTTTTTTTTAAATAAATCTGATGAGACAGTGGACACAGGCTCAAAACTGGGACTGTCCCGGGTCAACAGGGACGTCTGGTCACTGTGTTAAAATTAAAATAATTTGAGGAAATGCTTGGAAAAATGATGCATTTATTCGAGAAATCAAAACTTCAACTAAATAAAAAATGTCACTTACAGAGGGTGACCACAATTTCAGAATCAAAAACCGGGACACTCTCGGTTTCTGGTGGTTGGTAAAAACAAAATTGTGAATCGAGTGCATAATTAAGAAAAATATGAGTCAGTAAAATCACATTTGTTTTTGTTTTGGTCGTTTTTAAGTATCATTTTCTGTATTTTACTGAAATAAATGACAATTTATGTCTCTTTTTACTGTTGGCAGGGATCAAACTGGTCAAAAATAGAAACACCTGGAACATTTTATTTATAAAACTATAAAACAAAATTTTGTCTGTACGATTACCAGACGTCTCTATTTACCCGGGACAGTCTCAGTTTTGAGTCTGTGTCTCTTGTCCCAGCAGATTTATACAAAAAAACACTGATTTGTCCCAGTTTCATACAAGAAATGTTCTTATTTTTGACCAATTTGATCCTTGTCATCAGTAAAAAGAAACATAAATTGTCATTTGTTTAGGTAAAACACAAAAAATCTGCTTAAAAATGACCAAAACACAAACAAAATGTGCCTGCACTGACTCACGTGTTTGTCATGAACGGGCCGAGTGTGTCACATTTTTTCTTAATTACTCACTCGATTCACAATTTTATTTTTACCAAACCAAACCAGTTTTTTATTCTGAAAATCTGGTCACTCTTCCCACACGCTGACTCACACTTCTCTCATCTGGGGAATAAGAGAGTGAATAAAATAAAAGACAGCAGAACATTTGGGTGATCAGATTTTCAAAACTCTAAACTGGGACACACCCGGGTTTGGTGTAAATAAAATAATGAAAAGTAAAAAGAGTGTGTGAGACTGTCGACTCTCGTGTCTGTAATAATCTGAGGCTGAGTCCTGCACCGGGTTCGGGCAAACGGGCGGATTTTAACATTCTGGAATTTTACGGGCGAGTGTGTGGACGGGTAGTGACTAAACCAGGACTAAACCAGGTCTAAACCAGGACTAAACCAGGACTAAACCAGGTTTAAACCAGGACTAAACCAGGTCTAAACCAGGACTAATCTTAGACTTAAGAGAGAGAGAGAGAACCCTGGTTTAGTCCTGGTTTAATCCTGGTTTAGTCCTGGTTTAGTCTTTTAGTCTGTTTAGTCTTGTTTAGTCCTGGTTTAGTCTTGTTTAGTCCTGGTTTAGTCTTGGTTTAGTCCTGGTTTAGTCCTGGTTTAGTCTTGGTTTAGTCCTGGTTTAGTCCTGGTTCAGGACATTTATTTTGTTCAAATCCTGTTTAAATTATCTGAAAAAATCTGCTTCTTTCATGTAAATTGAGCCAAACTTTGACAGAATTCTCCCAGTGCGACGTCACCGGGGCGGAACTCTCGAAAACTAATTTTCTTCACAAATTACATCTTTATCAGCGTAAAACTGTATTTTCAAAAGGTTTTATCACAACAACTTAAGCAGAAATTACAGAATCATCGAAATTTGTCGCAGTTTATTTACAATCCAACACAGCAAAACAACACGAGACCAACAGAAGAAAAAAATGAAAAACATATACAAAAGTTGTATAAAAACATTATTTATGATGTAAAGGTGTGAGTTGGACAGTTGTAGTAGGGAGTACAGTTGTATCTGTATTATCTGTCACATAAAGGTGAGTAAGTGACAGTTGAGTAGGGAGTATTATCTGTCACATAAAGGTGAGTTGGACAGTTGTAGGGTAGTATTCACTGTCAAACATAAAGTGAGTTGACAGTTGTACAGTTGTAGGGAGTTATATGTGTGAGTTGGACAGTTGTAGGGAGTATTATCTGTCACATAAAGGTGAGTTGACAGTTGTAGGGAGTATTATCTGTCACATAAAGGTGAGTTGACAGTTGTAGGGAGTATTATCTGTCACATAAAGGTGAGTTGGACAGTTGTAGGGAGTATTATCTGTCACATAAAGGTGAGTTGACAGTTGTAGGGAGTATTATCTGTCACATAAAGGTGAGTTGGACAGTTGTAGGGAGTATTATCTGTCACATAAAGGTGAGTTGACAGTTGTAGGGAGTATTATCTGTCACATAAAGGTGAGTTGACAGTTGTAGGGAGTATTATCTGTCACATAAAGGTGAGTTGGACAGTTGTAGGGAGTATTATCTGTCACATAAAGG